CTTGCTTTGTTTTTCAATTTGCTAATGATGTAATTGTGACAATGAGATCTCGAGAGGTTGATCAAACAAAAAGAGAAAGAAAAAAGGAAGGAATAGGAGAGAATCTACTGACTGGATGATAATTGTTGAAATTGCAGGAAAATGGATTGAAAGTTTGAGAAGAAAATTAAAAATGAAATGCATTGAAAAATCATGTTTTTGAAATAATTCCAAAGAGAATCAAACCCAAATTTAACCAGACAGAATTCTGTAAGATTGATCAAAACTGAGACTACCCATTCCTTCTCCACCTCCCGCCAATAAGAAAGGAACCATTAAGCTATCCATGAAGATGTCAGATAAAATAAAAGCATATGTTTTCGATAGAGAAATCGAGGTGGTCACTGAAATTTGTGATTTCACTGGACAAGGAGAAAAAAAAACATCATTTCAAATCAGCTTCCCAAAAGAAAAATATCCCCTATGCATTCACCATTATAATTTTAGTGACATTTATTCAGAGAAAATTTTATACCCAAACATTAATTTGGATTCCCTTGCATACAAGTGGTAAGAAAAAAATGACTTACTATTTTGAAGTGACCATGAACAAGAAAGCTGGGTGGTCAATTTGTTCATAAAAATGCATAAAACAGAGAAAAGATAAACTTTTATTTGAAGGATAGTGGAAATAGATTTTTCTTTCTCCAATTCTTGAGTGGTTTGGCCCATGGAGAAATCCCCAGCATGGGGCAAGCTGATAGATAAGGACTAATAACTGAAATCCCTTTTGTCTTTGTTTCCTATCTGGAAATTGGATTTATTATTCCAGCCCAGGAAGCTGGCTGAGGTTGGCTGCTGAAAAAGTGAGAGGAGGAGGAGAAGGGAGAAAAAAAGATTAGTACCACCTAGTGTAATGGTGCAAGATGATACATAAAGAAAGTTGGAGTTAAGAGGGTATCTTGATCCCACTGACCACTCTCAAAAGGAGACTGGACAACCTCAAATTTGGAAAACTATTTGAATAAATGGAAATTTAGAAAAGGTTGATACTTAGAGTAGAAGTCAACCCTACCCCTGCCAGACGTAGGACTTCATATAAGCTGGAGATTTGGGACTCAGACAGATTAGAGGAGAACAACAAGAGACATAGACACACACACACACACACTAGAATCTGCATCATTTGCCAAGACCTGACCAAAGACCTTGTGGCGGACTTGAAGATCACAACTGAAAAATTTAAGTTACAGTTAAAACAAGCTGCATACTCCAAAGTGGATAAGTGTCATTTGATTATAACAGAAGTGGAAAGGGTTAAAACCACTGTATACAGCAAATCATATATAAACCAAATCATTGTTACATTTTTAATGAGTTAATTTTTTATTCCAAATGATTTGGGTTTTTTTTTTTTTTTTTTTTTTTTTTGTTTATGTAGCTCCCAATTACCCAGTGTCTTGTATAGCAGAAAGTGTTTTCAAACAATTTGAACAAATGGGATTATCAATTCAAAATCTGTGTGGCCAATAATTTTCTTTTTTTTTTTTTTTTTTTTTTTGTTGTTGCTAATGTTCACTCAATACAAGGCCCAAGAGCCACTCATGTTATAGGGTTACTGTTTAGTGTTGTATGAGCATAAGAAAGGTCAAGATGTGAAGCTTATGGGGCTAGTCAGATAATGACTAACTCTAGACTTAAAGAGGTCAAGATTTAATTTGTGAATAGAATTTCCAAGTTCAGTCAGAGATGTTAGAAGAGAATTCCTCAAGTGAGATAGTGACTACATCTAGCAATTTCAACTGTAAATACTTTTAGTATAAGTTTAGGTAACATAGTGGCTATTTCCTCAGAACAATTACCATGAAAATATTATAGAAATGGCACAGAAGCTACATTATGGTGGTGAAAAGGTGACTGAAGTTGAGATGTCAGGTCAGGACCAATAGCATTGCTAATTTTTCTTTGGATTTAGTCAAGTGGAAAAATTTATGTCCATGAAAAACGTTAAACTGAGTTCAATGAGTCCCTCTCCTGAAGGTTAGCAAGCCATGCTGATGGAAGGCAGGAAGGGTTCTCTCAGGTAATTAAGAGAACATTTTTGTTTTGGAGGTATTAAAATTAACAAGCCATTCTTTCCCTGAATTAACATCATGTAGGTAATTTTTTTTAGATCAACTGTTAATTTGGGCTTATTGAACCAATCAGACTTACTCTTAAGACAGGAGTAAATAGTTTTCATCAGCATTTCATATATATATATATATATATATATATATATATAATTATTTACCCGCTGCAAGATATGGCACAAGGCCGAGTTTTAAAGTGGGATATCCGAGCCCATAGGCTCAGGCAAAAATTCCCTATAGACCACGTAGATAAATGATTGACATTGCTTTTATATTTAGACATTCACATTATTGGCATATTTCCTCCTGTATAATTTTTTTTATCTATTTTGCATCTTATTTCAAATATTTTTTGTTGCTTGCAATTTATACCTATTTTCTTTAAATATTGTATTTAATAAAATTCTACTCTTAATTTAAATTTTTAAAATTTAAATTAAGAATTTAAAATTTTTCTCTTAATTATTTTTATCTCATTTTTATTTTTTTTCATAAAAGATTTTTTCTCTCAACTGATCAATACAAGCTTTAAATTGCAAAAGTATTTGAAATGTATTATTTCTATATCTGTCTATATTTCTGAGATGAGGTATTATGTATATTCTTTCTATTAATATTTCATTTTTCCTTCCTTTTAACTTTTTCCTAAGCTAAGCGATTGTGTTATAAAACTATTGTTCCTATTTTTGGTCAAAAAAAAAAAAAAAAATGAAATTAAGATTTGAAGTTATGTTTTTCAGACAATGATTAAAATACTTTAACAAAATTTATTGTTCTCTCTCCTGTTTTTCATTTTCTTATATTCTTTTGCACTCTGTCAACCTTTGCATCTTAAGGACTTTATTGCCTTGCTCAGGATGAAATGGCTAAAAAAATATTGCTTTGAAGTATATGTTGTAGCATACCTACGGTCGATAATGGGTATGTCCCCATTCACATAAATACAGTAGTAAATACTGTATGTTGGTCTGCAGTTGGAGATTTATTGTGGAATTCACTTCTCACTTCACTTCACTTCTAGCAGTTGACTACTACTTCTACGTGCCATTGGCAAATCTTATATGTGTTGTTCTTGTCCTAAGTATTATCATTCATTACCAACCTTCGTTTAATTATTCTATTCAGTAACCTTCCCTAGGTTACAGCAGTATACATCTAAGAAAAACTAATGACCAGATAAACAGAGAAATAGAATCAAAGGAAAAAAATTACATAATATATAATTAATTGTATAGTTTATTTAAAAGCAATTGGTTTTTTTGGGGAGGGGGCGTTATAATTGTTGTGTTCCTTTTAATTAATTTGTGCATTGAAATGTTGAATTTAATTCTTGCTGTGCTTTTTTCTTTTTATGAACATGTAAGAAATCAGTTGTTTTGTTTTTATATTAAAAATTCAAACATCCAAATTCCAAACAGAACAAAAACAAAGAAAACGTTAAATAAATCATTTGTATTTGCAAACATACATACAAGGATTAAAGAGTTAAAAAAAAAAAAAGGATTAGAAATAGTTTTTAGTTGATTTAAAGTCTTTGAGTTATTGGTACACAGATAAAGCTGTAGTTTAGAAAAGGCTTAAATAGGTGTTCCACAGAAAAAAGTTGTCATTGAGAAAAGACTTTTATCATTAGCAAAGATTCACTATCATTGTTGTTGTTTCTATTTGTTTGAAGTCACCGACACATTTCATTCTACATGCACTTGGTGGGAATAAAAAAAAATGTAGCTATGTCTTCTTTTTGCCTTAGAGACAGCTGCATCTCTGCTTTCTAAAAATCCAAATCTGTGGGTTTTTATAAGAATTTTTTCACAAAAGTAGGCTCATGAAAAATAGTTTGTTTTCTCTGATTGGTCAAATATTTTACATGGTGAAGTTAATTCTGAACCAACAGACCCTTTAATTTAAATGGTTTGTGTTGTATTGTGGAACCTTTTTGACATGTTTGTAATATTGTCTATCTTTGGTTAGAAAATAAAGTTCAGGCATGTTTTAATATGATATGTATCTGGGTATATAATTGTGCTGGAAATAAGATTTCTTTCCTATAAAGTGAGGCTTCATGCAAATGCAAAGAAGTCTAAGTGATCAACCCATGTTCTTAATGGTCAGTATGTTTGAAGTCAATCTTAGTTTTTGTTAGACCTCTACTTTTCTATCTCTCTCCCCATTCTCTTTTTCATATCATGAGTAAAAGTCTTATAAAAAAATCTTGTATTTGTAAATGATAGTTAAAAAGAAAAATGGAACTAAGTTGGATTATTGACAAACTGGAAATTATCTTTTTCTTCACCTGAAGCTTAATCTTTTTTCTTTCTTTTTTCTTTTCTTTTCCTTTTCTTTTCTTTTCCTTTTCTTTTCTTTTCCTTTTCTTTTCCTTTTCTTTTTCTTTTCTTTTTCTTTTCCTTTTCTTTTTCTTTTCCTTTCCTTTTTTTTCCTTTTTCTTTTTTTCCTTTTTCCTTTTTTTTCCTTTTTTTTTTTTTTTCCTTTTTCTTTTTTTTCCTTTTTCTTTTTTTTCCTTTTTCTTTTTTTTTCCTTTTTTTTCCTTTTTTTTCTTTTTCTTTTTTTCATCCTTTCTTTTTTTTTTTTTTTTTTTTTTAACTTGGACTCTTGCACAAAGGCTCACATCTTTTTCTTTTATTTCTCTTGAAGCAAAACTTCCTCTCTTAAATTAGAATTCAGATCATGAAAAGTATTGATCTCTTAATGTAAATGGAATGTGATTTGACATTTTTTCCCTGTCTGTAGACTGTCAATTTCTGATATGTGATACAATTTGCATGGACATAGTTTCACCCAGGGATGTAAAAAAAAAAAAAAAAGTTATGAAAAAACAACTAATTTATCTCATTGTAAATAATATACTCTGGTTCACTTTTATTTTTCCAGGAAACTATCCGACCAGAATTTGAAGCTACGGTGACCAGGAAGCGTATTAATCCCATCAATAAGGTATTTAACTGAAATGAAATTATACATGCTTTTCATCTCTTAAATGTACAGAGGCTATTAAACATTAAATTCAAACACTGAAGTATTGAAAGTATATACAGCAATTAATTTTTCAAGGATAAATTTGAATAATTTCCTTTGACAATAAAGTTGAAAACATTTTGTGTGTTCACTCATGTTTGTTTGTCAACACGATCTTCAAAGATTTTCAATTAATTTCAGTAGCCTTTTGTGGAATTGCAGACCATGGATAAATTGATTTAAATTTTGATCTGAATACATATATTTCTTACATTCAAAAAAATAATCCACAAATATATATAAAAAAAATGTTCTAAAGCTACATCCCCTTCATTGGTCTATGAATTAATTTTCACTCACTTTTAGTTACAATGATATTGGCTTTAAGTGATTTCAACTTAAAATGCATTCCTATAATTTCAGTTGTAAATCTCCAACTAATTAATATTCTTAGCATTAATTCATTAAGCTTAAAAACTTAACTGCTTTGCATTTTTTTTTCCTTCTTCCAGGCAGAAGAACCTTATGTTCCATTTTGGAGCAAGATGATACGTTATTCTACTGCAGCTGTTGTTATATTGTTTATGGTAAGTAAAATGTGATGGCTTCTTAAAGAATTTTTTTTTATTTTCTTTTAATGGATTTGTAAGAAATTCATGTTGTCAAGGATGGTTTTATCAGACTAGGCATGTAATTTCTTTAATGGTACTGAACTCAGAAGTAATCAACACAAAAATAATATTTTTCTTTTACTGATTAACAATTTATTATTTTGAAATATTAAAACAATTGTAATGATGAGGTTATCAAATTTCTTAACACAAAATTTTCAATGTTTTGTTTCATTTTTTTGTTTTTCTTCAAACGATTAAAATTATTTATAAGGTTGATTGTAATGATTCTCACAAAAATGTTTCCTATACAATCTCTGCAACCACCTAACACCCTAGACTGCAAACCCTTGAACATGTGTGGGGCACAGTTGAGCAAGATAACAACAAAACTCCTTGTAACATCAAAGATGAACTGAAGGCAAGGATTATGGCAACATTCACCAACTTAAACAAAGAGACTGTCCAGAAGAGTTGCAGGAGATTCCAAAGTCATCTGGAAGCCATGGTTGAAGCCAATGGCAATTTTATTGAAAAAAAATTACTCTAGTATTTCAAGATATTTTTGTGTAATTTTGGTAAATGTTAAAATGAGATGTTAGTGTTTATTTTAATTTTTGTGTAATTTAGATGACAATTTATTCATCACACCCTGTATATATCTGATTAAGAAATTACTTATTGCATTTGCAAACATCTATGCTCATGATACAATGATATACAGGTTCATTCTTGATGATCAGAGATTGACAGCTGAGCTATCTACATCTCCTTGATCTATCCACTATCCCTCTCCTCATCCTTTCTTCTATCACTCCTATCTGCTCTTGCTCCAAATCTTCTGCAACCCCCTGCATCCTAATGGCTTTATGCCTTGCTCGGGGCATAATGCTTAAAAAAAATATAAATAAAAAAATCTTCAGATCTAACACTAACTTCCCAACAGTGAAAGAATTGGCTTGTTTCATTCAATGACTTGAAAACCAAACTAGTTACATTCCATCACTGACAATCACTCACACCTGATCTCAAGTGGAACTCTTACATACAATCCATTAAATGATTGGCTCGCTGTATGGTTCCAGTAAGTACTTCACTCCTCATGCTATCCTCTACCTTTATAAGAGGCGGATCAGGTCGAAAATGGAACACTCTTGTCATATTTGGGTGGGAGCTACACAGTCATCATTTTCCAGTCTTGACAGAGTTCAGAAGTGTCTCAGAGTCCTTGTTGAAGAAGAGTTATTTCCCCTCTTCCAACCTCTCTTTTACAGGAGGGATGTGATTAGCCTCTTACTGCTCTATTACTACTTCCATGAAAAGCACTCAGATGAACATCATTCCTTGGTTCTGCCATGTATAACTTTTGCAGCCACTACCCACTATGCCACTTACATTGTAGCAAACCACCCACATTCCATTTTTATTCTATCAGTGAGATGTAAGTTCCACTCAAACAGCTTCTTCCTATGAACCACTGTTTTATGGAACAGACTCCCGAGAGAATGTTTCCCCAATCACTACAATTGCTGTATACCCACTTAATTCTGGGGATAGTCTTAGGGCTACGGTCTTGATTCACTCATATGTTGCATTATTCACTTATCATCTGGCCAGGTGATCGCTAGTTGACTTGTTTGGAGATAAAATGAGAACTTCGACAAAAGGGATTTTGACCTACTTAATTAAAAACGTTGTGTACATTTTTAACTAGCCAGCGGGGTCGCTCTATCAACCTCCTCAAGACATGAAATTGCAGTCTTGTCCTCTCTCCCCACCACCTTGCAGACTTGTCCTCTCTCTCTCTCTCGCCCCCCACCTTGCAGCCTTGTCCTCTCTCTCTCTCTCGTCCCAGCGCTACTTGCAGCCTTGTCTCTCTCTCTCGTCCCCCCCTACTTGCAGCCTTGTCCTCTCTCTCTCTCGCTCGCCCCCCCCCTTGCAGCCTTGTTCTCTCTCTCTCCCCCCACCTTGCAGACTTGTCCTCTCTCTCTCTCTTGCCCCCCCACCTTGCAGACTTGTCCTCTCTCTCGCCCCCCACTTGCAGACTTGTCCTCTCTCGCTCCCCCCCCCTTGCAGCCTTGTCCGCTCTCTCGAACGCCCCACCTTGCAGACTTGTCTTCTCTCGCTCCCGCCACCTTGCAGTCTTCTCTCTCTCCCATGAAGCCTCAGCCTTGGTAGAAAGTCTTTCCATGTTAAAATATTAGAAAATACTTAAACATTGTCAATGTCTTAGTATTTTTTTACCAATTTGCTTATGTTGGTGATATTTAGAAGCCATTTTTTTTCTTTCTCAACAGCCCTCCTCAGTTTAACAAACTGTTTCTGTCAAGATTGGAAGTGCTTGTCTTTAATCAATGAATTGGCTTTACAACCAGAAACAGTTCTGAACACTGACTCCCACAGATCAATTTGAAAAATAGGATAAATGAAAATATTTTCTCATAACTTCAGCCAAATTTCTCAGTAAATCTATGAAAATAATATAAAATTGAGAGAGTTAATTTGAAAATGTTAATGTTAGATTGTGATAGATTAGTAAAACTTATTATTCTACGCAATAATTGAAGAGTATGAATTTTTGAAAATATTACTTTGATACCAGTTTGGTATATGTTTTTTTTTTTAAAATTAAATTCACCTCATCCAAGGCAGTAAAGCCACTAAGACACAAGACACTGCACTTAAATTCATAAAGTAGGTACCGTAGTGAAGGACTCCTCCAAACAATTACCATAAAAATATTTATAGAAAAGGCACAGAGAAACACCATTAAGGTGATGGAAAAGTGACTAAAGCTGAGGTGCCAGTTCAAGACCAATAACATTACTGATTCTTCTTTGTTTCCATATTTGGCAACAATATTCAAATTAAAGATGAATGGTAGACTTATAGCTCTCTAAGATAATTTTTCTTTCAAAAATCTAACACAACAGAGTGAAGCAACTTTCTTAGCAGCAGACCTAGCATTAGAGGTAAGCATTAGCCAAACTGATGGAAAAAACAGAGTGGGTCTCTCAGATTATTAATGGAGAGCAGTTTTGTTTTGGAGGCATTAAAATTAACAAGCCATCCTTTGCCCCAATTAACTGAAGGTTGTTTTGGATATCAGCTGCCAATTTGACCTTTTAGAACTGTTCAAACTTACTATCAAGACAGGAGTAAATAGTTTTCATCAGCATAGATAAAAGAGCCCTGGGGGGAGATCTACATTAGTACAAAAAGATCTAGAAGAGTGGCCATTCAGGATAACATTCATTTTGTGATTTGATAAGAAAGACTGAATTAATTCAAAATTTGTCTAGAGATACCCCAATTTTTCAACTTATGAAGAAGACCATTGAATTTTTGTTTGAAATTTGTCTTTTTGCAAATGAATGTTGTATGCATCATCCACTCGGCATATAATCTTTGTTTCTAACCAAACAAAAGTTTAATACTTTCTCTATTGATGAGTAGAAAAATTATTAATGAATCAGACATTTTGCTTATTTTTAAAATTTACTACCATCTATAATTTACTGTTTTATCTAGAAAGCTTTTGTTTCTTCTAAAATAAAAAGGAATATTTGCTTTGATTTCAGAAATCTGAGAAAAATATTTGATATTGGAATTTTCAATTTGAAATCTCTTGACTAACAAGAAGCCTTCACTGAAATGTTTTTTTTTTTCTGTCACTTTCATTAAATTGGTATGAACTTAGCTGTAATGAATTTCTAAATGAGTTTCTCTTCATTCTTTTGGTTGATGGTGATGGGTGTCAGATAAGTGCTATACATTTGAAAGAATTTTTCACTTGTGAACAGTTCTGTGACCTACATTTTGTAAACTCTAACCAATTATCTCTCAAAGAATGTTCATACCATAATCTGTGTTTATGTAGGCAAATTATGGCGGTTTTCTACAACAATATTCAGCCTATCTTGCTCATATAAAAGTGAAATTCTATGATATATTTTATGTAAATTATTTGCAATGAAGTCTTTCAGTTTTTTATGCATTTTCATCTAATCTATGAATTTGAAGACATTTTCTAAAGCTTATTTTCAATTATGAAAATTACAAATTTATCTAAATGTTTTTCATTTTCATTAATTTGAAGAATACAGAGGGATATGTCTATCCTGAGGAGGTAACTACAAAATGAAAAATATTTTCAACAAAATGATACCAAACAAAAGCAAATGGACAACAGGTTGAAATTTTATGAAATGTTTATTCCATGAAATAAAAAAAAAATAAGTCTGGCTATAAAGAAAAGTAAACATTCCATTAACAACAGTATCAGCCTAAAAATAGTTTTAAAAATTAATATTTAAAAATTATGTGGCATTTTGTTCGCAAAATTACTTAATATTCAATATACTGCAAAACTTCTGTAGAATACTCATTGTGAATATATTAAAATTTTCCCCTTGGTAAAAATTTGTAATTACAGTAAAATAGGCATATGCAGTATGAGATGATAAAAGGTCAGTTATATTTGCAAAAATACTTTTTATTAATAGAAATTAAGGAAAACATGACTTGGATGACTAAGCTAATGATTGATTTATTTTTATGGATTATCAACCTTTATTTTATTTTATTATTTTTTTTTTAATAATTTCACCCCAAGAAAGGCACTAAAGCCATTAAGATACAAGGGGTTACTGAGTGTGAAAGAATAAAAAACATTAAGGAGTGAAAACCATAAAAGAAAAATCAAGATGACACTAGATAATGATTGACATTGCATTTACATTTTCAAAGGTCAAAGTTGGCTAGAAAGCAAGAAACTGGAAGAGTTCACAAGTGAGAAAAAGAACTTAGCCAAGAACTTACAAACTCTTTGTTATGTCAAGCTGAAACATTTTTTTTTTCTTTTGAGAATAACAATGATTTCTTCAGATACAAATCCTATTATTTAACCCATAGCTTGAGGAGGAGATAGGTTCATACCTTTACCAAGAGTATTTGCATGTAACCAGAAGTAATGGTACTATCTTCTGAATTTCAGTGTGCTACTAGGATGGCATCTCAGCCCCACCCTTTTACTGTCGAAACAGTTAAATATAACTGCCTCTTTTACTCCAAAAGCTTCTTTTGCATTTCCTGACAGTGGAACTCCCTTCCTATCACTTGCTTCCCTAATAGCTATAATCTTCAAACATTCAAATGTAATGTCAACTGACATCTTCTGATACCTTGACCTTGATCCCTGTCCTTCTCTTTATCTTTTTCCCAAACACTCCTCTTTACTCTTAGTCTCTGTAACTCCTAAAGAAAAAGAATAGAAAATTATAGTTATAGAGAAAATAACATGGCTACATTTAGTTGCTTCAGCAGTGAAAGGGTGGGACCGAGATATTGAAATTCAATTATGCTTTTCTCCTTAATTAATAGAAATATGATTTAAATCTGCTATAATAAACCTTTCTTTCTGTCTAAATTTCTTTGATCATTATTTACACTATTTACATTCAGACTATTGTCTTCATCTTTGTTGTTATCACAATCTTTCGGCCATTGTATCTTCTGGCCTTCATCAGGTGTATATCAATCTGGGTAACCTACAGGGAATTATGAACTGAACTGTTTATTTAACTAGTAAGCATGGACCTTCATGCGCACAATAAGAGTGTCAAGAGTGTTTCTTTTTTCTTTTTTTTTAAGACCACTTTTATTTTAAGTACCATTTATCTTCAGCAATGTTTATTGTTTTGAAAAGTGATGATTAGAATTCTAATAAAATCCAAACATATGATGAAAGTGAATTTATGCATTTTTTTGTTCTTAAGAATTTACAACAAAATTATTAAACACTATAAGATTTTTTTTATATACTAGAATAATTTTATAATTATAATATTTTAAAAACTAATACAATTAAAACTGATTCAGTGGAATATTTATAATTTATCAAAAAATAAATATGAAAAAAAATTTTTATTCATAAATTTACTAAATTATTAAAATATGTGAATAATTATAAGGAAATCTTTATTATTTACCATTTTATAAAGTTTGAATCACTTGGCATTTAGCCAATGTTTTGTCAACTATGCAATTAAATAATAAAATAAATAAATACTATAAATAAACAATCTATTAAATAAATAGTGTTTATTATTTTTGTTAATTCTCAAGAACAAAGAAAATATTTAAATTCACTTTCATATGTTTTGGTTTTATTAAATTTCTATTCATTCCTTTTCTAATTAATAAACATTTTCAAAGAGTGAAGGTAGTTAAAAAAAGAAAAAAATTGATGTCATGGGAAAAACTGTTCTTTTGACACTCTGTCAGTTTGTGAGTACAAAGGTCCATGTTTGCCATTTAATCTATAGGGACAGACTGTTCTCATTCCATTGCTTATGTCTAGGAACAGTTATTGTTATCATGTTTCCACCAAGTTAAAGTAAACACTGCCCAGCCCAGGGATTGAACAAATTTACAAACTGCCAGGCTATTGTTCCACAGGACAATTTCTCTGTGAAGAACTTGTAGCCTTAAACCTAACCTGCCTGCTGATGAGTTCTGCTGACTTGCTGTCATTTGTCTTTCTTTAACAGCCATCCCAGGTTTTCATATCTTGAATATTTTTTTTTTTTTTACTCTTTTACTGTTTCCTAATAAGATATTTTTTGTATTTTTATACTAATGTTCACCCAATACAAAGCCCAAGAGCCACTCAAGGTAGAGGGTTACTGTGAGTATCAGGGCAAGAAGTGAAGTTCATGTGTCTATGCAGAAAAGATAACCGTTAACTCTAGACTTGAAGAGGTCAAGATTGTAGTGAGTGGGAAAACATCCTGATGGGAGTCTGTTTCACAAAGCAGCAGTTGTTGGATGGAAAGAAGCTGTCCAAATGGAACTTACTTCTTACTAATGGAATACAAAAGGAATTGGGATGATTCCACCTTGTGCATATGGTATGGTGAGTCCCAGTTGTAAAGGTCAGGGGTAGTTGGACTAAGGAATGTAGCTCATCAGAATATTTTTTTTTGTTACATATAGAGATGACTACCTGATGTACTGAAGATTAGTATAATTGTTTAACAATCTTTATCAAGTGGATTAAATCCTCATGAGTTGACAGTTGAAAAATTGTTGACTAAGAACTGTTTGCCAGAAATTTAACATTTGTTAAATTTTATATATTTGGAATCTGTGGCATCTTTAATTTGTGGAATATCACTTTGTAAATTTTGCTCTCTTATATATATATATATATATATATATATATATATATATATATATATATATATGCATGATTATTTCTTATATGTATGTATATATATATATATATATATATATATATATATATATATATATATATATATATATATATATATGTGTGTGTGTGTGTGTGTGTTTTGTGCTCTGTATATCTGCTGTGACCAGGTACTGAACTCACAACACTTTGTATCCAGTCACTAGATTACTTCAACTAATGCTTTTATCAACTGGGTCATGTGTCCTTTGAAATTCCAACATATATCACTTGAAGAAGGCTGGAGCATACAACAGCCGAAACATTGTGAATATGACAATATAATTGAGGACAACAGTCTGAACTATGTAAATTGCGTATATTTTTACATAACAATAAACAGGTAAAAAATTAATTAAATGGGAAACTGAAATAGGCATTCACAATTAACCATTTGTTGTATTCAACAAAGATGCAAGGAGGAGATTCATCTTGATTCAGTAATTTGAAATGCATGACAGCCTCATCTCCAGACTGATGCTCACTGGTAACTAGCCATCCTTGATGCTTCATATATTGCAGCCCTAATATGAAGCATTCAGCACCATGCAGGCATTCAATACTAGGATTAAATATTGACTCTTTTTATTCTTTTATCTATACCAGGATGGGTGTTGTGGTGTCATGGATATCAGCACAGAATGAGAACTCAAAGAACTAAGTTCAAATCCCAGTTAAGTTCATTATATTCACTTAGTCACACATACTCTTGGGAAAGGTATGAACCAATCTCTTCTCCTCCTAGCCATGGGTTGAATAGCAGGACAAACTAGGTTCTTTAGCCTTAGTTTGCATCCAGTCTACCGCAGAAAGAAATGGCAACCTACTGCAAGAAAAATCTTCTGCCTAATCAGTCATGTATTGAAAGATACATGATCAACCAAACATATATCACGTGTGACACTTAATTGACTGATCTATACCAGTTTCAGAACTCAGTGTACTCTATGACTGGTTTGGGCATTAAATAACCCATAAAGGATACTGTTAAACCAAACCAATCTCTAATCACATTCCTCATCTTATGACCAAAATTTTCTAAGTTCCTTCCTCACTTATTAATGAATTAATACCATGGACTGAATATGTGAGCCGTGACAAAGTTTTGGGGAAAATAGAAACAAAAAGAACAATTATACTTAGAATCAAAAAAATGAGAGTTGAAATTTCTAGGGCATGCCATGAGGAAGGAGGGCTTGTAAAATCAGACACTCACAGGACTGTAAAAGGGACAGAGAAAAGCAGCGAATAACCTACCTAACAAGCTTGGCGTAAATGGTTGGCAGAACAGAGTAAGTGAAACAACAAAAAGACAGAGCTGCAAAGGATGCGAAGTTGTGGAGTGCCACAATCACCCATATCCTGAGATTTAGAAGATTCCACTCCTGGGAGCCAAATGCCTCCTACTTGAGAACCACTGACTTAAGCCCAAACTACATGTGGGTTCCTTAACCTCTTGATAAAGGAGATTCTTTCAGACTAAAAAATGTCCAAAAATAGTATGATGCATGTCGGCCATCAACAATCCTTTACCCTGCCGGTGTGGGGATATCATTCATTAAAACATGGTTGTAAATTCAGACATAAATCTTGGTATTTTGGCTTTTAAAATGACATTTTTTGTTTTTTACCTTTCAGCTTTGCTTGGTCATTGGAGCTGTCATTGGAGTCATTGTCTACCGAATTGTTATTATTGCAGTATTTGCAAAACAGGAAATTATCAGTCAAAGAGCCCCTTTACTGACAACAGCAACTGCATCAGTCATCAACTTAATTGCCATCCTTATCCTCAATTTGGTAAGATAAGTTCTTATTCTATGTGGAAACAATGTTTCTGTTTTGGAAATTGGAGAAAATTTCTTAAATTTTACATTTTGTTTTATATTTGAACTTTCAACATTTTATAAAGCAGAATAAACCACATCAAATGGAAAATGAATGAAGAAAATTGTTTTAATACTCAGTCACTACATAAGGTTTTTTTCCCTTTTATCATCTTTTTGTTTTTTTCTATTGTCATTTCCTTTGTCTTGTAAACTTTGGTTCTCTTTATTCATGTTAAAGCTATAAGAAATATTTCTTAATTGGAACACTCCTTGCCATAATTTATTCTGATTTAATCACAAACATTTGGGTATTTACCAGAGTGCCTACATCACTAGCAAATGTGACACAAGGTCAAGATTTAAAGTGGGTTTAATAGCAATACCATGGAAAAATTGCCTAAGCCCCCTCAGCACTTACCCCTTTTGATGAGGTTTCAAGAAGAGGTACTGCCTGGGAGAAAGGTCCCCTGATGCTTTGACATGTTCAATATTTAAAGAAACTCTGTAGTATTAAGAAAAATCTTCTTTCTATACAATCATTAGATCACAAAGTTTATTTGAATTCTAGAATGAATCATTTTCACTCTATATTTAACAGTCCCCCCACGAGAAATGTATGTGGCACAAGGCCGGGTTTAATGTGGGCTTCACTCTACAATGAAAAGCAACAAAAATAAAACTAGATAATAAATACATCATGAAAATACTGTTAACTGCCATTTTTATAGCATTTGTAGCATTGCAGCACAGACCAGACATCAGGTTCATTTTCAGGGTGCAGCTTCTTCCAGTCAAACGTTTCTGGTTTAATACATGGAAAATAATTCTTTGGTCAGGTCGTTACACACAAAATAAAACCATGTGATGAAATTGTAGTAATCGCTAAATTGTTATTGTTGTAACCTTCTGTCAGCAAGTGAGGCACTGTGACGTGGTGAACAGTATAACAGGTGTGTGCCTTCCTTTTTGTGTGGTATCCAAGCAGTCTGTCATGTAAGCTCCTAGGGACAACTGTCTTATAGAGAAACTGCATTCTTTGTCTTGTCAGCTTTCAACTAAAAAAGTAATTTATCAAGTCTGCTCCTCTCAGCTGGCCTTTTTTGTCAAGGTCGTTTCGAGATGGTACTTGTGAGTTCCACTTTACTCTGACCTTTGTCAAGACAATAATCACCAAAACGATTCCTGTAGCATTCGCTAAATGTTTCCTTAAAAAGATATCAGACAGCTGATATTGCTACGCAATTTTTACCTGGCTATGCTGCCTGTTTTATTTACTTATTTGTTATTGACTGGGGAAAAAATGAAATGGTTACAAGTTTGATTTTTGGCTAGAAATTGTTAGCTAGATGTCTAGATTGTATGTTTAAAAAGATAGAATTTGCTTAGTCAAGATCCAGCTTAGTGTCATTAAAAAACAATTCCAGACAAAAATTCAGTTTCATAAATAAATTGAAAAGTCAAAGAACTTTTAATTCAATCAAATTGAGATATTAACAATAATATCCAATATATTCACAAAAAAAGATCTATTTCTGGTGGGTGATTCATGAGTTTATGGGTCCATACTGTTTGCTATAGAAATTCATAAGTTGATCCAACACTTAAAAGCATTTTCTAACAATGCTACAATCACATATTCAACATATATATATATATATATATATATATATATATATATATTTTTTTTTTTTTTTTTTTTTAAGCATTACACCCTGAGCAAGTCGAGAAGCAATTAGGATGCAGGGGGTTGCATAAGATTTGGAGCGAGAGCAGATAGTAGTGATAGAAGAAAGGATGAGGAGAAGGATAGTGGATAGATCAAGTGGAGATGTCGATTGACATTACATTTGAATGGAGATTATAGCTCTCAGGGAAATAGTAATAGGGAAGGGAGTTCCACAGGCGAGATGTGCGAGGTCTGAAGCTATTGGAGTAGAAGAGACGGCTACATTTAAGTTTCTACAGTGAAAGGGTGAGAGCCGGATACCAGCCTCATAGGGCACTTGAATTCATGAAGTCTGAGTGAAAGCAGCTCATCGAAGCAATTACCATGAAAGTATTTGTAAAAAGGACAGAGAGGCAACGCCACGTCTGTGAGAGAGCAACTGTAGACAAGATGCCAGATCAGGGCCAATTATATTACATATCCGCCTCTGGATCTTGTCAAGAACTCCGAGGTAAACAGAAGGTGCACCAGACCATATATGGCAGCAATACTCCATGCAAGGGCGAATGGTTGATTTGTATATTTGAAGTATCAATTATATTTAATAGCTAAGGAGTCTTAGTATCACATAAGACCCAACTTTGTGGAGAAAGCCATTAGAAGGGTGTTTTTTAAAGTTTGCACAAAATTGTAAAAAAAAACAAAAAAAAACGGATATTGTACACAAATACATGTTATGCCGAATTAAGTGCTTATATTAAAATTTTATTTGCAAAGTAATCTCAGATTAGCTTTGTTCATATCCCAAATTAATCTAAAATCAAAGAAAGATCTATTTCTGTCAGGTACTTCATGAATTTATGGGTCTGCTCTGTTTGAAACAGAAATTCACATTAGATCTATCCAACCCCTAAGAAAACAATTTCTAACAATACTACAGTCAATTATTCAATATATTTCATAGTTAGGGAGTTCTCATATTCTATAAAACCTGACATTGTAAAGAAAGTCTCAATTTGACATTAAAATTTGAATTAAAATTTCCTTCAATTTTCAATTTATTTATGAAACTGGAATTTTATTTATTTTTTAGATTTCATCTGCAACATTTTTATTCGCTGCCCTATAATCAAGCCAATCACCAAAAATTTAATTTTGGAATTTTCTTAAATTACTACACTAAAAACATGCTCTGATGTCCCATTGGTAAAAAATTATGGAATGACAGATGAGAAAAAAAAATACATTTCATAAAATTTAGCATGTGAAAAATAGATTGACTGAAATAAGTTCTGATAAAAAAAAAAAAAAACACCAAAGAAAAATGAAATTAGTTGAAACCTTATAAATTTATTAATTACTGATCAGTGCAAAAAGTGTCTTCATAAATGACCCTTTGTAAAGGTCAGTAGAAATGGCCATTAAGCAAATCCAGAACCTTGGCATTAAACGCTGAAGTCTTTAACTGGTGATTATTAGAGATTCTGATTCAATGAAAAATGGAGGAGTGTGAAAGATAACTGTAATCTTTTAAGAAATATTTCTCTAAGATGGCTTGAACAATACACTGCCTCCATTTTATTATTCTCAGCCTCTGAATTAATGAGGTATTTTTCTGATTAGAAAAGAGCTTTTGTTACATCTACCAGTGAAATAAAACAAAATGCAAATAGATGCTAATGCTCTGTGTTCATTCCTTTTAGTCATTTTTATTCAATATTAAGCTTGTGCTTCTGAACAATGAAAGATTAGAGAAAAGCTCAATATTTCCAGTTAAGGTTTCTGAAAAGAATTCACAAAAGTATTTGTGGGAGGAGACAGAAATTGCTCACTGGAACAATCACAGAAAAATATGTCCAGCTAACATGAAGCTAGCTGGACACATCTTATGCATGCCAGAAAAATCTTTTTTTTTTTTTTTGTTAATGAAGTGGATATTCCAATTAGAAAAAGAAAGACTGACCAAGAAAAGCTTGGTGCTCAGTATTCAGCAAAGACTTTTTTAGAAAGTTGGAATAACACAGGGAATATCAGATGCTGCCTTGGATAATTCAAAATGGAGACAAGCCATCATGACTTGTTGCATGGGGCCTTTCCTAATAATAAATAACTATATTAAATGTAACATTTACTTTTTTTTGATAGGGGGGAGACAAAGATAACCATTCTGTACATTAAATCATAGGAAAAAAAACAGGTGAATAGGGATTTTAGAGATAAAAAAAAAATACTTCTATGTGACATGTCCCTTCAGAACATAGGCGATCATGGCTCTCCACAATTTTTTGTCTATTGTAGCTCTTAAAAATTTATATGCTACTACAAAGTGATTTTTTTCTTAATATATAAAATATAGTATTAAATGTTAGACTATTATTGGCAGATTTAAACTGCTCATGGCTACCATAATACCAGACAAAGTGGTATCAGATAGGAAAAAATATGTACCAGTTATTTGGAGGTGAATCCAAGTAAAAACAGATATTCAGTAAGATAGACTAAAAGTGGGGGATTGTAGAGTAGGACTTGGTGTACTTTCTGCTCTTCCCTACAACTGAGACAATGAACTGCTCCAACTTATAACTATGGCAAATAGCCACATTAGAGGAGGATTTGAGGAGTAATTGATTTACTCAAGTTTTACAGTTTTGTGTATGAGTATTTAATAAACCTCTTCTTGATTTTCCTCTATCTAGTCTCCTGTTCCTTTGATACTCTCTCTAACTACAACCTTCCTAATTCTCAGTTATTTTGAACAAAGACAACATATATTAGCTAGTTTACCTCTATCATCAAAAAATGATGGCATATTTAAATCATTTTGTAATTATGCTTGTTATATTTTCTGTAAGAGTAATATTTGATTATTTTTTCTATCTATACAATTCTATTATTGCATGTCAAAATGAATTCTGTTTTTAAATAATAATATTGAAAGCTAATGCAAAAAAAATAATAACAAAAATAACAATGGTTTAGCAGCCTGACCTATATTTATTAATAAAATATTTCCTTGTTATGGTAACATGATGCATGTTCTTGGTGTTGAATATTGCCTTCAGTTAACAAGAAAATCTCATTAAGATGAGGAAATCAGGTTGTGTAACTGAAAAAGTTATAAAGATACATTGTGTTTTAGATTCTTCCCATTTATTATATAAAATTAGAATTTGAACTGAGATTTTTGTTTTAATTAGAAACTTCTGATTAACCTGACATTGGTTTTGACCCTAATATGTTCTTGATGGGGGGTGAGGTAGAAAATAATATGGGCAGTGAAAGTTATGAATTGCATACAAATGTTGTGAGTATTGATCAAGAAATTTTATTGCCAAAATTTCTACATGATGAAATGCTTTCTGGTAAAATTCTTGGATTTTTCTGGAAGTTTACAGAAAAAAAACCCTTAAGAAGAAGAAAAAAATAAATTTTCAAAATGTAAAGCTTCCTTATATATTTATTGTACAATTTACATATTGTGTAAATAATGGATACCTACATAAAAAATTTTTCCAATGGTTAAAAGGAATGATTGGTAGGTATATGGTAAATAAATAATAATTTATAATAGACAATTTTTTTTCTTTTTTTAAAAATACAGATTTCAGATTTTTTATTTTTATTTTTTAATAATTGTTTTTATAGATTTACAAGAAGCTTGCTTGTGCTTTGACCAACCTTGGTAAGTTTTTTATTTTTGTTGTACAAGATTTTTAATAAATTGATTTTTTTTTTTTTATTTATTTATTTTTTTTTTTAATAAAATCTGATTTGATTTTTGGTACTTTATTTTATTATTTCAGAGTGGGGATGTTTACATTTTTCACCAGTTTAAATTTTTTCTTTTTTCCATTTTTTTTTTTTTTTTTTTCTATTCTTTTTACAATTTTTTTCTATACAGTTTTTCTTTTTACTGTTTTGGATTTTATTTCATTTTATTTATTCATTTTTTGGGGGAATTGTTCTTTTTTTTTGTTTGTTTGTTTTCATGCTGTTTCAATTTGCTATTTTATTTTTTTCCCTATTCTTAACATTGGTATGTTTGTTCTGAAATTGATAATGTTGAAAAATATATCCTTAAATTAGTCCAGAAACATCATCTGGATAAGAATATAAAAGTGTTACCTTGGTTTTGGGAATCTTAAATCCAATTGAAAAACTCATGGTATGAGTTGTGTATGAGCTGGAAAACCTAGCAATCTGCAACAACTTTATGATTTACACACATGTAGTGTGGCAAAATATCTCTGTAGATATTTGTGCTAACTTAGTAAAAAATTACTGTAAACATCACAGAACGAATAGGTTATACAACTATTGATTTTTCTCATGCACATGAATTTTTTTTCTTTTAACAATTAGTCAAAATTAAAGATTTTGTTTATTTTCTTTCCTAACATCATTTCTATATCTATCAACTTCTCAGAAAATATTTACTAATCAATTATCTTTATAATTGTTTCCAGTAAACTTTAAAAAAATCAGACTATGCCAATAATTACTGTCAGCCGTGTGTACTCTCCTTGTGCAGTAAAGACTGCATTGGCTTGGCTGTATGAGGAAGGTTTTCACCAGTAAGAACCAACATCTGTAAACATTTAGTCATATTTTCAATTCTCTCAGCACAGCATAATTCCCTTTTATCAAAAATATACTTTTCTAAAACTTGAGGCAGATTAGCTGATTTAAAGTTTAATTAATCGGGTTCAAAACAAATCTTCCTTACTTCAAAATATTGCAGAAAAATCATTTTTTTAACACAGGTGGGGTGATTTTATGAGCTAATGACAGCCTGATGTTTGGGAAATTTATATAATTTTTTCTATGGGGACATAACTGTAAAAATTATTGGAGGATTATAATAAGAGAGCCTTTTTTATATATATATATTTTTTTAACTACCCAGTAATTTACAAAAATATTCTAAGTTAGGTATCTTTACTTTAAATTTACTGTAGTTACTGCTCTTATTTTCTGATAGTGTCATGTATGGATGTCTGTATTTACAAAAATTAGCAAGTTTATACATGCAGAAAAAAAATTCAAAATTCTTTTTAAAATACTGTGTGGTGGGGCTGAGCTTTTCCATTTATGATTAGTAAATATAGATTTTTACTTAACAACAATATCACTTAACTGCTAAAAATTAGTACAGAATTTTAAGATTTAAAACTTTATAAAATTAAAACAATTCTTGTAAAAATTCATTATTCATAAAAAAAATTTTCTCAAGACCATAGTATCTATAATATATCTTATTCATAAAAGCAATTAAAAGCTTTTTAATTAAATAATGTTTTTAGTTTTATTGAATTTTCTATTTTACAAGTCAGATCAGATTTTTAGTAACTGGGGGTCCTGTTTTACAAAAAAAAAAAAAAAAAAAGATAAAAATTGATGATTTAAATTCTCCAAGGACTTTTGCTTATAACTAATATAAACATTATGCCGTACAAAGACAAATTTCTCAAAGTTTCATAAAATTAAATAAGTGCTAGTAACACATGAGAAAAAAGAATTTTACCAAGATTTTCTTAAAAAAAAAAAAAACTTTCTAAAATAATTTCATTCATTTGTAAATAAGTCCTGAAAGTTTCATTAAAATCTGACAGTTATTTAATTTTTGCAAGAATTTCCAAGTCAATGTGTTTTTCACAGTAAAAATGACACTTAATTTCCTATACTAATTTATGGTTCCCCTTTGAAGAAAAAACAATATTTTGAACCAAAGTTTCAAACATTCTAAAAAGGATTGAAAAATATGATTTAATAGTCAAAAATTCCTTTGGTCTTTTCTCTTAATAATAAAGATTTTAACAATTAAACGTTTTTATGAAATTTAGGGCATTTTTTTGCACATTCATTTTTTAGTGAATCTTTGGAGATAGCTAAATGACACTAATATCCAAGTAGACACTACAGGAAAGACAGCTATGGATTGCTGTGCTTGGTGACAAGTCATAAATGCAGGCATCACCATTGTAGAAGATGAATGAATCAAACTATGGTTGGACAGAAGGAAAGTGTTAGTGAACACACAGCAGCCATCTGCTTTCAGGTCCAGTAACTGTGCTCAGGACTGCTACTCAAATATTGGTTTGTTTAGCAGCAGTTACTACCACTGTGCATCAAACTGAGTCTTCATTGGATGCATCCATTGTCTCATTAAATCAAATCAAAGAAGATTGATAATTATAGAATGATAATCTAAAAGTAGCAACAAAAAGCCACAGAAATTAAGATGAAATTAATTTCTGTTTGCTAAAATAAAAACAGAGACTTAACACATGTATCCACTAAAAATAAGGTTTATAATATATATATATATATATAAATTATAAACCTTATTTTTAGTGGGTACATGTTTTAAGTCTCCATTTTATATATATATATATATATATATATACACACATACATAGACTGTTTCACTGTATCACAGCTCATCAGTATGGCTAGACATTCAATTGCCTCAAGCCAAGATTGAAACTGAAACATTTTGGAATCAGTTAAAGATTTTTCCTCTGAGCGATCAGCTTCCAGCAGATAGGAAGGTGAATTTTTACGTATTTTAGAATAAGCACGTTAGTGACTCAGAGTGCTCAATTCATAGAACAGCTTATATTATATATATATATATATATATATATATATATATATATATATCCACAGACAGCAGTGTGGCTAGATATCCAATTGCTTTAAGCCACGATTGAAACCAATTTAGCATCAGTCAGAGACTCTACCCCTAAGCTATTGGTGCACAGCAGAGAAAGGGAATCTTTTAATGTATTATATACATGATATATATAAACACTAGACTAGCAGCCAGAGTGCTCAATATACACCAAATATACTCAGGTATCATGCAACTTTTGAAGACTTCATTTTGAAGCTAATTTTAAGGGGGTTGCATCATACACGAGATATAAAATTAGTGTATGTACTTCTGGTCCTGGCTACACCATTGACCAAACTATATATCCATTTACTGTAGTCAAATTAGCTTCAAAATTAGGTCTTCAAAGGTTGCATGATACACAAGTATATATGGTATATACAATTTATAACTTCAAATGTTATTGTCAGTGGATACCTGTATTTGAGTAGACACTGCCGTTTATTTAAACAGGTTTTATTTCATCTACTGACCTGTCTATTCAAATACAAATTCAGTAGAAATAACATTTAAAGTAATAAAAATATGTCAGATTAAAAAAAATAAAATTCCTTAATTCTTTAAAAATTGCTTTGTTTCCATTTTAAAATATGAAACTGAGTAGATATGACTTTTGAGAAACACTAAATAAGTGAGTGTGCTTTAAAGATAAAAAAAGAATCTTGTTTGTTTGTGAAGGTTCCATAGCCAAGTGGTCAAAGTATGCAGTATCAGATGGTGCTTTCTACTGCAAGAAGGGGATACATGTTCAAATCCTGCTGGAGGGCACATTTTGTTTTCTTGAGTATTCATGCTGGTAGACTAAATAAACCCTGTGCAAATAAATGGAACATCTACTCAAATACAGGTATCCACTTAACGTAATGTTTGATGTTCAAGTGAAATGGTCAGTTCCCTGTACCACTCCAGCAAGTACCTGACTCCTCCTGCTATCATCTACTTTTACAACAATCAAATCAAGCTCAAAATGAACAGGAGCTGCCCAGACCTAACTCTCCAGCGTTGATAGAGTTAAAAAGTGTTTCTGAACCCTTGTGGGTGATGAATTATTCTCCACTCTTCAACCTCTCTTCCACAGCTGAGATGCAGCAAGCCTCTTGCTGCTCTACCGCTACTTCCACAGAAAGTGCTCAGACATATCCCTGGACCCACTGAGAGAAATCTTTTCAGCAAGAACACACCATGCCACTTAAATAGTAGTAAACCACTTACATTCCCTCCATATTCCATTGGTGAGAAGTAAGTTCCACTTAAGCAGCTACTTTTTGCAAACCACTGCCCTGTGGAACCGACTTCCCCAATCTATACAATCTTAACCTGTTAAAGGCTAGTTTTAACCATTATCTTCCACTCCTATACACACAAATAGCCTCCAAATGTAACCCTCTACTACAAGTGGCCCCCAGGTCTTGTTAAGGATGAACCTCACTGTAAAAAAAAAATATATATATATATATTGCTGGTTCAAAAGGACAGGGTTTATATTTGCTGGAACCCAGATGTATTAAACTCTGATATCCTTATTCAAAAATGACAGTATAGATGACATTTTGTCCTTCCTGAAAGAAATAAAATTATATTATCCCTCAAAGTGATTCCTAATACATTTAGCAACAAACAACTGCAGACAACTTACTGTCAAAATAAAAAAAAAAATCCTTGAAAAAACATAGATTTGACTATTCCCCACAATTTATCTCTTGGCATAAAATAACCCCAGATAGGTTGACATGCTATTAAAACCAACCAATCAATCTGATGTCCCTGATCCTACAATTGACGACTGTTTTTATCATGATTCTTTTTGAATGTTGGAAACCTTTTGGAAACTTTTGGCCAGATATTGATGTCGGTGACACTGAGCAAAGATTCTTTTCCTTTACAGAGCAACATCGAACACAGACAGAATGGGAAGATGGGTTTACCTTAAAAATGTTTCTCTTCCAGTTTGTCAACTACTATTCTTCCATTTTCTACATTGCATTCCTTAAAGGCAGGTGAGTGTGTACAAATTTGCAGAAGAGTGCATTAATAAGTTTGTAGCTTGACATAGAGATATCACCCAGATTTTGATCTGAAATTTTCAATGTATAATGTTCAAGCCATGTAATGAATATTCACTAATGAATGAAGTATATTGACAAAAGTGTTGATAAATGAATATCTGTTGACAATAGTAATGATCATTAGCCAATTGACTATATTTGTAGCTTTTCACACACACATACACACAGAATAGTTTGTCATTTGTATGCATAGGCAAAACATTTTGTGTATATACCTCAAATTTTCAAAGGTTTCAACATTAAAAACATGGTTTCTTATGGGGAAAGTGTGGCTCTACCAGATTTATTAGTGTCCAGACTTAAAAAATAATGAAAAAAAAAAAAGAAATAATTTCACAGATCAATTTTTCCCCCAAAAAATTATTTTTCATAGTAATTTTTTATTGGAAACTTACCAGAACAAATAGAATTAATTTTGGTTTTCTTTTTAGTCTACTAAACACAAAAATTGTCTGTATGCATGACCTGAAAATGAATCTTATGAATAATGAGAATAAAAAAAAAATTTGACAACAATAATATCGTAAAATAGATAGTCCTTACTTATGAATTTCATTTCTTTCACTTTGGTCAGGTATGTGAAACTACAGGAAAAAAATCAATCACAAATTTTTGAATAATTCAAAACTTATGTCAAATTATAGGACAAACTGTCATTATCCAGTACTAATATTTATGTTCACACTGCTTATATGAATGAACACATACATACACACACACACACAAGAATGCTGATAAGTTCTCAACTTAGGCAATAAGGAATTTACAAAAAGATTTGATCATTTGTATATATTGTAATTGAAAAAATGTTTGGTTAACTGCATTGACAAAAAAAGATTGTTGAACTTTTTTTAATCATTATATATATATATATATATATATATATATATATATATATATATATATATATATATATATATATGATTTTTTTTTAATCAGTATCACCCAATGCAAAATGGCAGTCATTAAAAACACAAGGGGTTACAGGGTCTGTAGAAATTGGGAATAAAAGCATTAATGATGAGTGGAAAGAGAAAAGAGTAATCAGAAGGATTGTAGATAGTGATTGATATTGTATTTAAATTTTTGCATATTAAAGTTGGCTGGAAAGCATGGATCCATAAAGGAGCTCCATAGGTGAGAAATGCAGGAAAGGAAAATATAAGCATAGAACGTACGGCTACATCTAGCCAGCTCAACAATGAGAACTTGACACCAGTCTTGTACTGCACTTAAATTCATGCAGTCTAGGTACCATAACAAAGAGCTTATCTGAACAATTACCATGAAAGTATTTATAGAAAAGGCACAGAGAAACAACCTTACAGTGGTGGGAAAATGAATGAAGCTAAACCACCAGATCAGGACCAATAATATTGTTGATTCTTTGGATCTTATCAAGGAGTGTTAGGTAAATAACAGAGGTACCAGATCATATGTGACAGTAATATTCTAAGCATAGGTGAATGGTAGATATGTAAAGTAAATTCTGGAGAGAAAAATTTTCATACACAACACAGTGAACTGACTTTCTTGGCAGCTAACCTAGCAATGGATTCAGTAGAGTCTTTCTTCTTCATGTCAGCTGAGAACGTTAGCCTAAGAAGGCGCAACAAGTCACTTGCCTGGTTGTTAGTATCATCCATGCTGATGGAAGCCAGAGAGGATTCTGTCAGATGATTAATGGAGAGAAGTTTAGTTTTGGAGTCATTAAAATTAACAAGCCATCTTTTGCCCCAGTTAACAAATGACTGGAAGTCATTTTGAACATTGTCTGCCACTTTGACCTTGTTAGACTAATCAGCCTTCCTACTGAGTCAGAAGTAAATGGTTGTCATCAGTGTAGATACAAGTTTGAGAGCTGATGTCATGAGTAAGGTCATTAATGAAAATTATAAGCAGAGTACGACCAACGATGGAGCCATGAGAAACATTTGCATTAGTACAAAAGGATGTAGATGAGTGGCTGTTCAGGATAATCTTCATTTTGAGATTTTATAGGAAAGACAGGATCAGTTCAAAAATGTGTCTGGAGACACCGTAACTTTTTCAGCGTGTGGAGAAGACCTGTATGCCAAACCTTGTCAAAGACTTTTGAGTTGCCCAAATCTACAGCCTGGGATTCACTGTTATTATCTAGAGCATGATAGACTCTTTCCACAATTATTATCAGTACATCAGCAGTTGACCTGAAGAAACAAAAGCTATATTGCTTGTCTGAGAAAAGGCCCTGTGATGAGAGATCCTGAACCAATTCAGCATTAATTAGGGTCTATAGGAGTTTCCCAAATAGGAGTAGAAGGCTAATAGGCAGATAGTTGGAAGGGTCAGACAGTTCACCAAAGTTCTTAAAAACTGAAACAACAATGACTTCCAGCAGGCAAGAAAGCAATTGGGTGGTTGAAAATGTCAGTCCAAAGAGTGTCATGAAGAAAATCACAGAGCAAGTCCCAGTCAACACGCTGGTAGCAGAGAGAGGTCTTATGGATAGGATGTTCCTGTTTAATGAATGACTGGAATAAAATATCAGTGGATAGCACAGAGCAGTCTGAGTTACCAAGAGGGCAGTGTTGCAAAGCTCAGCAAGAATGAGGTGAGAAATGAATCAAGTAGAGGCGCCTGTTGCTTGGTTTTGCTAGGGTAACCAGTAGGAAAGTTGATGATTTGAGTAAGAGATTGAGCAATGGAAAAATTTAATGTCTGATTACTGGCAACTTCAGTACCTTTAGAATGTTTCAGCTACATGTCATGGTGAGCATTAAAGTCACCAAAGACAAAGATATTCATATACAGAGAGAAAGTGCCTTTTCTCTATGGCCAGCTATTATGTCTAATATACTGCAGTCCTTGGAAGAGAGGGAATGATAAAAGAAAAAGAGATAGTTAACAGAGTTTAATAACTGAAGTTGGAAGCACATGAAAGAGTAGTCATGAGCCTCTAGCAACAATTCCCTGGCCCTTGGAAGATTATTCTGGATGTAAACACCAAGGCCATGCATATGAATGCTGGAATCTTTTCAGTAGAGAAGATAGCCTGGAACCAAGTATTCATTGGTAGCAATGGAAGAATCTAAGTTGGTTTCACAAAGGACAAAGCTATCAGGTGACCATTCCAAGAGAAAAGATTCTATGCTGTAGAGGTTGGAACAGATACCCTGAATATTAGCAAAAGAAAGATGGGGGGAGGTAGATGGTTTTTGTTTACTGTTTTAGTTGTATTTTTGTTGCATTTTCCAGGAAATTCATTTTAAGGAAAGAGAACAAAGATCACTATAATAATTGTCACTTAAGTAGGAAATAAGCAGATAGTGACATGTGAACAGATATGGCAAATATGAATTCAACAAGGTGAATCCTTTCTATGTTCTATGCCAAATGTGAATCAATTGGAAAATTTCTGTCTGTATTTTTGCCTCCGAACCACTTTTATCAGAGAAGAACTTAGAAAAGCCCACTCTTGGTTTCAGGAAGGTGAAGGTTATTCATTGGCTTATAAAGGTTAGAAAACCACAGGAGTCATGTTTGCAATCGACAAAAATGGAAACTGGTTATTTTAAGGCCTGGAATTTGTAATTTTTGATCAGAATTTTTGTTTCAGATAATTTTCAGTACTGTATATTGGGCATTGAAAATCAAAAGGTTAGGAATTGTCTGTGATCAGGATTTGAAGCCAGTTTTACTGACAGAATAGGACTAGTATGTCTATAACATAAATTTTGCTAATTATTTCACTATAAGAATGAATTGCAAATTATAATATGTTCCACAATGTAGCTTGGCTATGATGTAGTGTGTGTTCAGAAGACATATCAGTGTTATATGTAGTTTAATACAAGTAATGCACATAAATTAGTTACATGGCTTAAGTACATGTCATCATTATGTGGTTTTGACAATGAAATACACATAAAGTCAATAGTAAGCCACAATAATAAGTTAACATTCAACATCCACTTTTGCATGGCATTCATTTGTCCTATCTTTTAAGATCTGGCACATGGGGTAGAGAAACTAATTACAAGCATATTGCTGTAGGTGGTCAGTTAATTTTAAATAAAGAATGCTAGTCTCTTATTTGATGTAAATTACTTGAAATAATGAAATCTTATCCTTTGATTATTTTCTCTTCTCATTCTATGTCTAAATAAATGTGAGTGTTATCAACAACAAAAAGTATTTTCTATTAAGCATATAACCACCAAATTCTGGCTATCCAAAAATATTGCATATTACATTATCTTTCAATAGGAATATATTACTAGTTTTATAACCATAAAAAATGACAAGATTATTTATGTATGGATTGGCACTTCTTCCGAGATTCATTCAGTATATCTGTGGGCTCTATCTAGGATCAAAATTTTTCATCCTATTCTGCTGGACAAAGTTTGATATAGTATCTGTGAAATGTGTTATATATATATATATATATATATATATATATATATATATATATAGACACGCACATGGGAGGGATGATGAAAAGTTCTTTAGCCAACTAAAGTGGGATTTTAAAAAGAAAAAAATTCTGATGATGGGTTACCAGGCCAGATTTTGGGAGTTAGGCTGAGAATTTTCAATATTCCATCTTATATAGAAAAAATATTGTTTTATATGAATAAAAAACTCACATTCTCTTTCTCACTCTTTTTTGTCATTTCTCTTTATTTTGCTATTTCTCTTTTTTCTTGCTATTTCGTTCAATTTTCTTTCTTTCTCTCTTCCCCTCTCCCCTTCTCCCTCCTCTCTTCCCCCCTCCTCTCTCTTCCCCCTCTCTCTTCCTGTCTCTTGTCCTCCTCTCTCTTCCCCCTCTCTCTTTCTCCATCTCTCCTTCTCTCTCACACACACACACACACATATATATATATATATATATATATATATATATATATATATATATTGCTTGTTTTGTCCTGGCCTATTTTCTTTCTAGGCTTAGCGGATCTCCAAATGATTACAAATACTTGAACAATGAGAGGCTGGAAGAGGTAAGTGTTACTTTTTAAATTTAGGAATCATTAGTTTTTAAAATCTAATTAAAGAAATTCACAAGTTTTGTTTACCAGAGATTACAGATGAAAAAAGTAAGCTTTATAGCCTTCAGCCTTCCCAAATGCTCAGTGTGTAGATAATTACAAGACAGAAATAATAGCTGAACAGCTTAGAGATGTTGAAGTTTCTGACTAAAACCTATTTGCTTACAGACACACATATGGAGTGAACTTAATCCTCACTTGGTATCTGATAATGAGGCCTTGTGTCTGCCAACACTCAGTAAATATTGAGCATATGTTTGTGGGAAATTTTAAGTACAAACCAAAGCCAAATGCTGTCTATTGTTTGTTTACTAACTTGGGCTTAGTTTGACAGTTCACCCAAAGACATACAGGAGGAAATTTTACAGGGCAGGCAGAAAGAATTTGCCGTAAATATTTTCAATTTGTTTGATCCAGACCCCACAACCATATATGCCTCCAAGTTCACACTATATTTACAATACTTACATAGGTTCTTCAACTGTCACCTACATAATTACTGATTATGTTAGATGTTGCTTATATTCAATGATTTCATATCTATTGTTAATCTTTACTCTCTCACACAAAAAGTAAAAAAACTGTTTTATGAGACAATTAAATGAACAATATTTTGACTTTTCGATTTTAGTTTATGATCTGCTGTGTCATATATTAGAAGTGATCTTCAGATTTGTACTTCCTTCCAACTTCATTAAAATTATATTTCTTAGAAATGTCTGTTTGGAGGGGAAACAAAACTTTACAGTTTTTCATAATTTTTTGAATGCTCAAGAAAAGACCTATTTCCTCCAAAACTATTATTTTGTTATTGCACTTCCAATGTAATTAGAATTAAAACTTATTTTCTAAAGATGTCAGAATTCTTAATTCAATATTTGTCAAAAATATATCATTACCTTTGTCCCATAATATTAGTTACATTTGCATCTGCATTTCATACATTAAATATAACAATTATTATGGGACAGAGGTAATATTATTAATGAGATTATTTAAAACCCTAATAAAATTTCCAGACTGAGTTTGAATACATAAATCTGGATAAATCTCTGGGTTTATTTCCCTTTTAACCTACAAATCAATTTGGGGGATGGTGTATAGTTTTGCAAATTCAGCTAGAGGTAGGGTAGTTGATTCAGATACAAGCATATCAAGTTTGGGTTATTGATGGTTTTTAAACACAATGCCAAATGAGGATATTGGAATTTCTGCTTTAAACTTTGCTTTAACACTGACCTCTGACACTGTTGGAAATATTTCAGCCACAGCATGAGTAATTGTTTTCCTGCTAGTCAAGTTTAGAGTAATTTCTTATTAACTAAGTTTTTAATTTCTTTTTATATGCATTTTGTTGGTGGGTTGATTCATTTTTTTATGGCTTATCGACTCTTTGCAGGTTATTTAAAGCTTTTAGATTATGAGAATTTTTCTTCAAATTAGTAACTAATACGAAAACCATTAGAGACTGGAGATCCATTTCTTGGACAGCACCACTCTATACATGCTAATGTCTAAAAAAAATTTTCCTTTCAAATATCTTCATTTATAAATGAATACTCCCTTCCTACTATAAAACTTTAAAGATTTTCAAGCAGTCACAATTTCTTTGGCTTAGGTTAATAGCTAACAATCTAGTCTAGGTGGTCAATACTACTGAGTAGTGAGGTTGATCATTATTGGGAACCTTATATTTGTGGCCTTGAGTCAAACTTAAGACAGTCATCATTATTTTAGAATAAAAAGAGAATGCTGAGAAATGAACAGCTTTTCTCTCTAACCACTTATTAACTATTGTTTATTATAACTGGCATAACCTGTTATCCCCGCTTCAGCAACTTAATGGACTGTTCCTATCAGCAGTGGCAGCAGCAGGAGCATAGACTTGTGTCCCCTCTTGCCTGATTGGCCCATTAGATATTATTTAAACTGCTGTGATTTATCTCGTGGCACTTTAATTTTGACTTGCCTAGAGGAGTTACTGACATTTTAAACCAGATCTGTGCTCTTATCATCACTAATAAAATTCTGCAAAAGCTGAATTTCCATTTGGAATATTAATGCCTTTTTCATTTGTTCTTGGTCTTAGACCAATAAATTTGTCTGCTTCTTGCTGGCAATGATTTAATGTTGCCATTGTTTGAACTTGTGATTTTTCAATGTTTCAAATTATTGCTGCCATCTTATAATCTAAATTTTACATTTCAGTGTCACCCATCTGGTTGTCTGATTGAACTTTGTATCCAACTTGGAGTAGTAATGGTTGGCAAACAAGCCTTCAACAATTTCGTGGAACTTCTGTGGCCGTAAGTCTCACTCGTTCCCAACTTTTATTCAATAATGTGTTGTTCATTTAGGGTTATTATAGTTTTGTTCCCCCCGACTTTAAAACATAATATATTTACTTCTTGCACATTAAAATTAACATAATGACATTTAAATTGAATGCCTAAAACTATAAGGTTTTCAATCCATAAAATCAACATCAATAAAAGTGATTCCCGATTTAATACAGATTCAACATCTAATAATATTAAACAGGTTATAAATCCATAGTAATTTGATGCCAAAAATAATAAAATTTGGAGATTTTGGAATCTTTGTTTCCATATGAACTCTGCAAAGTAATCATCCATCATATGATGTCTTGTTGGTCAATGCCTTGCTTTGATTCTTGATTGTGTCTTTGCCACACTGCTTCCTTGTGATTTGTGGTTGGGAGGGGATGCAAAAGTATAATTGTTGATTCCAACCCAGCTAGGAATGACTGAAAACAGTTTTCCCCTCCCCAATTTATAGGCAGAAGTACACAAATGCAGGCTGGTATTCCTTCCTAGCCAATAAAATAGGCCAGTTCTCAGTTTCATATGACTCAGTCCTGATCTTTCTTGCCTTGAAATCAAAATGCTACATTCATATATCCAAATTTGTTGTGTGTCAACCCCAATTCTTAGTTTATGAACTTTTTGTCATATTACTGTTGCTTTACCATTTTTACTGATAATTTTCCTTTCATATATTGTTTGCTTGCTTTATATTATTTTTTGCACTGTTCTTTACTTGTTATTGCTTATTACGAATTTTGTCAATTCTGTTTTGTGGGCAGTTCTACCATTTATTTACATTTAACCACTTGCTCTAAAATAATTTTTTTTTATCAAATAAATGCTTTTTTACAAAAGGGTTAGACAGCAATTCTATCGGATACTCTACTAATATAAGGTAATTTACTGCAGAGCAGCCATTCTCAAAATGGTAAGTGTGCATCAGCTGAAACTGAGAGAAGGGATCCTCAAATGCTGTTATGGTAAAATTTAAGGAATGTGGGAAGCAATGATAATGTAACACTTCAACTCGATCCTGGCTCACAGCAAACCAAATGCAACACCTTTGATCAATCCTGGTTTGCATCACTTCAATCCGATCCTGGATTGATCAGTGGAGTGATCTCTTCAATCCTGACCTGCCTTACCCCATGTTGTGATTGTTTTGATTATAAGGAGGCCAAGATCAATTCATTACAGGTATCTTCATGTTGAGCTGGCTTCAAGTCTAGCGAAGTTGTACAATAAAATTGAAAAAAAAATCACTCAAAATATATATATATATATATATATATATATATAAATAAACTAATTACTATTTTATATCAATTCTGAATATAAGGGTTCGTTAGTAGTTGTGTTCACGTACAGGTGTTTGTCAACCCAACCCGTTTGTAAATTGGATGCAACACTTGGGTAAGCTGTTAAGTTTTGGCTTGCAGAGTTATCGAAATTTGTTTTACTGTTTTAGTAAGTTTGGCTCAAGGCTGAAGTCAGAGGTTCTTGTGTTTGGCAGGAAGTGTGGAATCTCTCAACAACCTCTGTCACTTCTCACAACTCTGACTCTGCACTGACTGAACTCAAACTGTCTGAATGGATTTTGTGTATTCATTTTTATGGATTCCAACTAGAAACCAATCCAGGGCAAGATGTAAGCTGGGTTTTGGTGAATCCAGCAAAAATCTATTATTTTTGGTCTTGAGAAATCAAATTAGTTCATAATTTGGGGGAATTCTCCCTCTCTCATGAGAGGGGAGATGGTTGCAGACATTGCTCCACACAGCTGCCTCCACCTTCTCTTAGTACCATCTCTCACTATTGCTCCCTAGTGTGTGTGAACAGCTCCTTCAACCTCTTTAATGTCTCTTCTGTGTCTGCTACCTTTCAGTGGGTGCAGACAACCCCTCATCCTTCCTTGATCACTCTGCTGTACCTGTCACCTCCAACATTTGGTCGAAAATTGATAAAAAAAAAATATGGTTTCAAATGTACTTTTCTTATAAGTGAATTGACGCATGCAATTGGCTCTCTCACCTCTCTGACCTAAGAGACACTTTCCCAGGGAAATTTTTATTGCTCAGTTGCAGGTGTTCAATTCATTGTTTTTCATTCTGACATCCCACAAAATGAATTCATTTAGCTTTAACTCAATTCTTCTCTTGTCAGATTCAGGCATTGGTTGTCACAGGCTGTCAACAGCTGATTTGTTCACACAAACTGAGAATCGCTTTCAAGTGGTCATTTGGTCCATTGTACATATTTTGATTCTCTGGGAACAACTCTTACTATCAGCCTATTTTTTCAATATTGGTTAACCCTTTTCATGCATCATTATCTTGTCGCCATTTTGATTATTAATTACCAGCAACCCAAATAATGTTACAATAAACCTCTTGTTGCAACTTTTGTATATTATTTTCTTCTTCTTCTATGTGCTACATTCCTTCAGGATGCTGGCTCTCATCATGGCTCTCCACAATTGTCTTTTTGTTATCTCTCATAAACCCTCTTCTGCCATTCATTTAATCAAGTTGTCCAAGTAGGTCATGAAACCATCTGATATTAGATTTAAAGCCTCAAAGAATTACATCACTTCTACCCCTTGGATCAGTGGTTGATTGAATATGTGTTGATTAATCAAGTGTTGTTGTCATCTACTGGTCATGAGTTTAATATATGGATCAAGTAGTAAGTAGTCTGGTTAAACAGGAACAAACAAGAAACAGCCTGACAGTAATGAAAGTAACACAATGTACATACATAAGCATTTTTTATGTACATAAATAAGTGCTTGTTTTTTTTTTTCTGAAGAAAGACCAGGATTAATCTTGCACAAAGCAAGGTGGGTCATGCCTAACAAAGGATTTGTCATAATGATTTGAGGCAAGGTTTTACAAAGCTAGAGGCTCTTCCTGTCACCCAACTCAGACACTCCCAGTAGCCCAAGTACACTGAATGTTTTATCTCTAGGAAGGTTGTCATTCAAGGCTTGAGACTCCATCCTAGCTTTATATATACACACACATACAGGTAGACAATTGGCTCCTAGAAGAAGTTCATCTGCTCATTGACAGGACTTGTTTTTCATCCTGTGGGATGACATGCCACCCTCCTCACCAGCAGAAAAGCTAATGTAAAGCTGTTTTAAGCAGGCATCAATCAACAAAGCTAAAATAATGTACACCTGATGATGGCGAAAGGATGCTTTGGCCAAAACATTGCATACATGACAAAAATGAGAAGAATAATTTGAAATAGTGAAAGTATATTCTCTCTGTTTTTATCCAAGTTTGATAGGGTGGTGGATGGAAGTTGAGAATGACTGCTGTTGAATGATGGTTAATGGGCAAATTAATTTCAAATACTCGACTAGATTACATTTTGTAAGTATCTACTGCATATCTTCATTAGGAATTCAGTTTTTTACCAGAAAATCTGGCTGAGATGTGATCTAGACCCTTTCCTTTGTTACACTCAATTCATTATTTAAATGCCAAAATTTGAATGAAATTATTTTTATTTAAATTTCTTTTCAGACTCATTTCTCAATTATTCTAGAAAAAATAATTTTATCTCATAAAATAAACCCTAATTGGACTATTATGAATTTGCTATGAAATGGAACTAACTGTTGCTGTTGTCAGTATATTTGCAGGTGATGATTGGTTATAGCGGACATACATTATCTTATTCTATACACAATGCCTTAAAATAGGCTTTCTCATCCACCTTTCTACACCCATTGCTTGGATTGTTCCCTGATATTTGCATATTTTCAAACATTAAACTTTAAATACTACATTAGCTCCACCCCATGTGCATATTTTCAATACACATTGCCTTGGATGGTGCCCTGCCCCAATGCATTTGAAGATTTTGTCTGTCCAATGTTTTTCTGCACTTTCATATAATTATTTCCAGAACCCAAGTAGCTTTTCCCGCAAAGTGGTTTTATATATTAAGAAAGTTATTGAATTTCTCTAAAGAAGAAACAAAAGTTGCATCTAGAAAGTGATTACAACATTTTTCTAAGAATATTTTTGCAAGCAAGGACCATCAAATCTGATGGTCCTTGCTTGAAATTTAAGGTATTAACCTAATTTTTTCCTCTTAGTCCCACTTTTAATAATCACATTATATAAATCTTCATTAAATAAAATATTAGTGAATACACCATCTGAAATCCATGTAACGCAAAAAAAAAAAATTGACAATGTTTCAGCCATTGTGATCTTTGGCTTTCATCAGATGTATATCAATCTGGGTAACCTACAGGGAATTCCAAACTAAACTCTTTATTTAATCTTCAGGGATAGACTGTTCTTGTTCTATTGCCTATGTCCAGGGATATCTTATCCCGCTATTTTTTTTCTTTTTAGTACTGCTTAGTTATTGTTTGTCTGTTTCCACCAAGTCAAAAAAAAAACACTGGGGTTGAACTCACAATTGCATTCTCCAAATTCCTGAACCAATGCTTTACTCCACTCGGACAATGAATGTTTTATTTTTCCCAGATGAAATATTTTGAATATTTTTACTCCATCTTATTGCTTTTTATCACAACATTTCTTTTTCCCAATGTCATGTCCCTTCAGGACATAGGTGATCACAAATTTCAACAGATTCCCTTTCTTTATTATCTGCAAATTGGCATGAATTCTTGAAAAAGATAGTGGAAAGGATTCCTTTGGCTTTCTGCACATTTTGGAATCCAGTTTTTCTATTTTTAAACCATCCAAGTCTAAAGAGCCCAGTCTATCCTGATATTAATAGCAGAGTAGACCAGGGCAGGAGAGAAGAGACATTCATGCTTTTCCCAAGTGTATTTGTGTAAAAGTGAATGCAACAGACTAGCCTGACATTTGAACACTTCTCTCTAATCCTGCTGTCTGCATTGATGTTCATTACCCTTCATAACATGCATGCAGTGTGAATTTTACTCAGTAGAAACACCTTTATTTCTGATTCCTCACCATTTCCTCTCAAGGACTTCATTGATAATAAGTGTTGTGACTAAAAGCAATAATAAGCAAAACTAGTACTAAATTAAACATTATAAAGAAATTTTCAGTTTTGTTTTCAAGTTTTAGGCTTTAAGAAATTTTGAAAGAGAATTGATAATTCTCTTGTATTTATTACTTCTAAAACTTTATGTGCATGTTGCATGTTCTTCCTAATGTTTTATTTCTTGATTTGTCCAGGAAAATCCTGAATTGGATCCAATCTCGCACCATCCGTGATGCTGAAAAGCATCATCACTCACATATTCCTAAACAATGGGAAAGAGATTACGTAATGACAGAACTACAGCCTCTTGGATTGTTTTATGAATACCTGGAAATGGGTACGTAGACCTGCTTAAATGAATTCTGATGTCTGGATTTATGGTCACTGATATGAAAAATGAAATCTGCTAACTTAGTTGAAATTCCAGCAGAAGCTTTTAATTTCCACTCTGCACTAAGGCCTGAATCCACTTTTCCCTGTGTTTTCATTATCAGACATCTTGACAAAATTCTCACTTTCATAACCATAGAGAAGAGTGGATTTAGACAAATGCTTCTTTTCTAACTAATCTCTTAGTGTGGGAAGCTGTTACCTCCATTGTTAGCCTTGACAGGTGCCAAGCTGATATTTGAAGACTTAGAAAAAGTGCCAAGTAGATGAAATTAGTTAACTGTAAATTCTTTTACTATGTTAGAGATTTCTCTGTCAAGTTAATGAGTGGTGTTCTCCCTTGTTAAATAATGAGTGTGAGTAAGTGTGTTCACATCTAGAAGTCAGAGGTGTGGATAGGGTGTTCATGTCAGGAGGTCACCAGTGGGAGTGGGTAAATGTTAAGATTTTCTTTACTGTTAACTTTGGAATAAAAAGAACTGACTTGAGGGTATAAAATAAATAATATATTTTTATTTTCTTTGTCATTTGGTGTAGCAAAAAGGCTGATATTGGTAGCAGTCTGGAGAAATGTATGGTTGTGGTGTTTTGAAGTAAGACCATGCTAGGGTAGTAATGGTATTAGAAATAAGTTGGTGTCAATCTACTGTTTTTCTTGGTCATAAGTAGAGCAGAAATATCATTAGCAGATGACCTCTTAAATATGCATGGTCACATCTTTGTTCATCACCGTTGCTGTTCTTTTTGCTTCTAGCTCAGAGGTGTTGGCTTATATCCTTTTGACCAGGCTCTAAGAGTCTGGAGTGAACATTGGTTTTGGCTAACATTAAAAGTCTGTTTTTGTCAATTTGCAAACATCATTACCATTACTGTAAGATCTGGCTCTCCTCAATATGCTCCATCTTACATTAGGGCTTTTGTTATTATTTTCCTTTAATTCCCACACATGGCTGGCCAGTCTGGTACAATTTTTATGGCTTTCTATTCTGAACAATGACCTGTGGTTGTACCATCTCTTTTTGTTTTTTAAGGTGCCTTCAGTACACCCCACAGATATCTTGTTCTGGCCATTTGCATCCTTCCACTTTGTAAAACACTCCTTCCAAACTCCATCCAGTGGGCATTTATTTTATCCCTACAGTTACACGTCTCATTATCAACAATAACTTGCTGCATGCTAGTCTTGGAATTCCTCACATTTATTGAATAAAATTAAAAAAATCCTTGCCAGAATGAAATGGAAAGCATTGTTTTCATTATATAAATATGTAAAGTGCAAAGAAAACCTGGAAAAAATTTTAAATCAGGCGATACAACAATTGCAGGCCTTCCAGAACATTCTTAGTTTTCCAGAGTAAAATTTCCACTTCTGAACCTAGCAAACCACTTATTAACAGTACTTTCAGCTATGATACCATCTCTATAAATGGCACATGTCTTTTTGGGCTGTTTCTCCAGTGTCTGTTCCTCTTTCTGGTGAAATAAGAACCTCAAATAACAAAAATACATCTAATTTTCCCCCAATTTCACTTTTAATGCAAAAAAAAGTTTTAAAATTCACAATCCACACACAAAACACAGGAGGACACATTGAAATATTGCCTTTTAGAATATGTTTATATACAATAAATTTTGGCCAAGTGTGAAACAAAATCACATGATCAAAGGCCACCTATTGAAAAACACAAAAAAAATGTTTTGTTCCAAATCATTATAATATATAACAGAAATGACTTTAGAATCCAGATGTTTGATATGTACACTAATTGAGAATAGAAACCAGATAAGTTCTATTGAGTTAACCCATAGTATAGTACTCAAATGCCTAATTATCATAATACTGGGCAATTGCTAAGAACGTGTATTTGAATTTTCAACTCCATGAAATAGTTTGAAACAAATCCTTCTGTGAGAAATCAGGTAAATCTAATGCCTACACTCTCTACTTGACATATGTCTGCAAATGACTGAAAATATTTTTATTTTTTTTCTTTCTTTGTCTTTTTCTTCCTTTCTTTTACTTCCTGTCTTTTTATTATTTCTTTTTTCTTCTTGTTTCTTTTTTTCCTTGTTTATTTCTTTCTTTTTTTTCCTTGTTTCCTTCTTTTTTTTCCTTGTTTCCTTCTTTTTTCTTTCTTTCTTTCTTTTTCCTTGATTCCTTCTTTTTTCTTTTTTCCTTGATTCCTTTTTCTTTCTTTTCCTTGATTCTTTCTTTTCTTTCTTTTTCCTTGATTCTTTTCTTTCTTTCTTTTTTCCTTTCTTTCTTTTTCTTTTCTTTCTTTTTTTCCTTGATTCTTTTCTTTTCTTTCTTTTTTTTCTTTCTTTTCTTTTCCTTGATTTTTTCATTTTTCCTTGTTTTTTCTTTCTTTTTTTTTCCTTGATTTCTTTCTTTTTTCCTTGTTTCTTTCTTTTCTTTTTTTTTGATTCTTTTTTTTTTTTTTTTTTTTTCCTTTTTCTTCTTTTTTTTTTCCTTGATTCTTTCTTTCTTTTTTTCCTTGTTTCCTTCTTTCTTTTCCTTGTTTCCTTCTTTCTTTCTTTTTCCTTGATTCTTTCTTTCTTTCTTTTTCCTTGATTCTTTCTTTCTTTCTTTTTCCTTGATTCTTTCTTTCTTTCTTTTTCCTTGATTCTTTCTTTCTTTCTTTTTCCTTGATTCTTTCTTTCTTTCTTTTTCCTTGATTCTTTCTTTCTTTCTTTTTCCTTGATTCTTTCTTTTTCTTTTTTCCTTTTCTTTCTTTCTTTTTTTTTTTTCCTTGATTCTTTTTCTTTTCCTTGATTCTTTCTTTTTCCTTGATTCTTTCTTTCTTTTTCCTTGATTCTTTCTTTCTTTCTTTTTCCTTGATTCTTTCTTTCTTTTTTTCCTTGTTTATTTCTTTCATTTTTTCCTTGTTTATTTCTTTCTTTTTTTTTTTATTTCTTGATTTTTTCCTTTTTTTTCTTTTTTTTTCCTTGTTTTTCTTTCTTTTCCTTTTTCCTTCTTTCTTTCTTTTCCTTGATTCTTTCTTTCTTTCTTTTTCCTTGATTCTTCCTTTTCTTTTCTTTTTCCTTGATTCTTCCTTTTCTTTTCTTTTCCTTGATTCTTCCTTTCTTTCTTTTCCTTGATTCTTTCTTTTTTTCCTTGATTCTTTTTTTTTTTTTTTCCTTGATTCCTTTCTTTTTATTTTTCCTTGATTTTTCTTTTTTATTTTTCCTTTGATTCCTTTTTCCTTGATTCTTTCTTTTTTCCTTGATTCCTTTCTTTTTCTTGATTCTTTTTTTTTTTTCTTTCTTTTTTTCTTTCTTTCCTTGATTCTTTCTTTCTTTTCCTTGATTTTCTTTTCTTTCTTTTCCTTGATTCTTTCTTTCTTTCTTTTTCCTTGATTCTTTTTTTCTTTCTTTTCTTTCTTTTCTTTTTTCTTTTTTTCCTTGATTTCTTTCTTTTTCTTGATTCTTTTTCTTTTCTTTCTTTTTCCTTGATTCTTTCTTTTTTCTTTTTTCTTGATTCTTTCTTTCTTTTTCTTTTCTTGATTCTTTTTTCTTTCTTTTCTTTTCCTTGATTCTTTTCTTTTCTTTCTTTCTTTTTTCTTGATTCTTTCTTTCTTTTTTCTTTCTTTTTCCTTGATTCTTTCCTTGATTTTTCTTTTTTCCTTTGATTCTTTTTTCTTTCTTTCTTTTTCCTTGATTCTTTCTTTTTTCTTTCTTTTTTCCTTGATTCTTTCTTTCTTTCTTTTCCTTGATTCTTTTCTTTTTCCTTTTCCTTCTTTCTTTTCTTTTCTTTTTTTGATTCTTTCTTTCTTTCTTTTTTTCTTTTCTTTCTTTTCTTTTTCTTTTTTTCTTTCTTTTTTTCTTTCTTTCTTTTTCCTTTTCTTTCTTTTCTTTCCTTTTTCCTTCTTTCTTTCTTTCCTTTCTTTTTTTTTCCTTCTTTCTTTTCTTTTTTCTTTTTTTTTTTTTTTCCCTTGATTCTTTTTTTTTTTTTTCCTTGATTCTTTTTTTTCTTTCTTTTTTTTCTTGATTCTTTTTCTTTTTTTTCCTTGTTTATTTCTTTAAAAAGAAAATCAAACGCCTGGAAACAAGCCTCCTGTGTATTACATTCAAATTGAATATTCAAAACAAATTCTAAGTATAGAAGATGCTGATTACATTTAAACCTTTTGTTCAAAGAGCTTCCAAATCACAACTGGGGAGGAATATGTAAAATGAATAAAGAAATGAATCTAACTCTAAATAGTTTTACGTCGGTAAATTTAATGAACAACTTCTTTTTATGTAAGAAACAAAAGTCATCTTGCGTTACTGAACGATTCGGTCTAAGGGAAATAACTTTTCAAAAAATGCTATTAATTTGATAAAAATTTAAACTGTGGCAATTTTATTTCTCTTTAATTTAGATTTCGAAATTATTTTTTTATTTTTTTATTTTTTTTTTATATTTTCAGTTCTCCAATTTGGATTTGTCACTATTTTTGTTGCTGCTTTTCCATTGGCGCCATTATTTGCATTAATAAATAACATCATCGAAATCCGTCTGGATGCCTACAAATTTGTTACTCAACTCCGTCGCCCCCTTGCTGCCCGTGCCCAAGACATTGGTAAAACATTCTCTTTTCTGTTCTTTTTACTCTTTTAATTTCTGACTTGTAATTTACTGTTTTGTGGAATCAAATTGGGATGTAAAATGTAAACTTGTCTTGCCAGAATTTACTACTGTAAATTTGAAGGATATTTGACATAGAATTTTTTGCTATTAAAATATATATATATATATATATATATATATATATAAATCAAGAAGAGAGCCTTTAAAAAACATCAACTAATTTTATACTTTTTCAAAGTTATTTTCAGGTGAATATTAACTGAGACCAAAGGTTTGTTGTTTAATAATCTGACAATAGACTTCAAGAAGGATTTCCTGAAATAAAAATAACAATTCATTAGACTTAATTCATTTGAATTTAGAGATGAAGTATTTTTCTTATTAATCTTTGACTAGCTCTCTCCATTTTATAGTCACTTTTCCCCCAGGCCATTAAAATAACATCAACTAGGAACAAAGAAACATCTTTTTATAAACTTGGAGGGTAAATGACCTAAAAATTGTGACAAAAAGCAATAATGAAGAAAACTTAAAAATCACTAAAAATGACAAATATTTTTTCTGAATTATGTAAGGATCTACTTTGGAGAATTGGAGTAAAATATGAATTCTTTTTTTTAAAAAAAACAACAGATATGACTTTTTATTTACAGGGAAAAATTCACTTACATAGAAAAAAATGACCTTAACTTTACAGGCGGGTAAAATTTAAATTATTATCTTTTATAATAAATATATATTTATTACTTTAAATGTTATTTTTAGTAGATAACCAGGTATTTGAGTAGATGCTCCTTTTATTTTAAACAGTATTTTCTTTCTTTTACTGGCTTCTGCACACTCAAGAGAAATTACTAAAGAAAGAGGATTTGAACCTGTCTCCCATTTGTGGTAGAAAACTGAATGTTCAGGATGGTAGACAAAATACTGTCTAAAGTAAACAGGGCATCTACTCAAAAATGGGTATAAACTAAAAATAAATTTTTGAAATAATCAAAATGTTACATTAAAAAATGAATAGCCATTAATTATTTAATATAGTTTCCATGGTCATGTTATGTAGTTAAATGAGGTTATATTCCTCTAACATCACTCCTACAATACTGAATGCTTCTTTTCAATACAGCGTTCTTGAATTCCCACATATGTCACCAACATAAAAATTGCTCTGCTTCTCACCGCTTCAGCCCTCTCTTAGCATGCCAACACCATGGCTAACTGACCAATTAGCGTTCTTCACTTTGTCTTTGGTCGCACAGTCAAATGGCATTCAACCAATCACCACATGAATTGCTATTGGTTGAACAACACTAAACTGTATAAAAGCCAATGTTACAGAATATATACTTCCGGAATAATCTAAAGTGTGTGGGCAGGAGATTAATGCCATTTTCAAGGAACAAAACACTGCTGCTATGTGTCAGGTATTGAGGTAAGGAACTTATTTTCCTTTGCACCAGGTGCAACCCACTCTGACTCGCTTACTTCTATGTAATTGTTCACCAAATGTTAGCATGTTAATATTTTGTGTTTTTTTACTGTGCTTTGTGTATCAGCTGAAAAAAATTGGTAAGTAAATATCATCCGTTTGTTATTTTATAATGGATCCCTACTTCAAGGAGATTCCAAACAAGAATAGATGAGGTGCTAAAGGCAAATGAAAAGAAGGGTGACAAAATATGTTTTTTTATTAAGTGTAATAATGTAAGACAATATAACATCACATAAACATCATACTTACAATCAATGAGGTTTGCACTTGACAACCTTTTGAGCTGAGGTGAGGTCATCAGCTACAATCTATGAATATTTTTGTTCCCTATGTTGTAAGTCCGAATGTTGGTTGCGTGTTGCATTAACCTGTTCTCTGGACTGGACTGGTATCTAATTGTGGCAGGGGCCTTAATTCATCTTTGTTGTCCTTACTGTACTAAGGGCATTAACTCCCCTCACTTATCTGCTCGCTAGGTGGTGTGTTCTATCTAAAACCCTAATAACATGGTATCTATCACTTTTATTTTAATTAAAAGTTTAAGCATTGTATTTTAATTCTATTTCTCTAAAAGTTACTTTTCCTCTTCATTTTTCAGGTGTGTGGTATGGAATTTTAAAGAGCATTTGCATCATTGCAGTCATTTCCAATGTAAGTATTTAGGATAAAGATTGCAAATTCTTAAAACAAATAGGTATTACATTGTTTATTATATTTACAATGGTTGACTAACCAAACTTTTTATCAATTTTGATGATAAAATGTTTAATTCAATCCTAGATTCAAGCCATTATTTTATATTATAAAGAATGTTGTGCAATCTAACAATGTTAATTTTCTAAATGTGTATGTATCGTTTCCATAAAAAATTCTTGTTTTATTTATAATAGGAGCACTCCAACATTGATTATCTATTTATACAGAAACTGCAGCAGATGCAGTGATTGCAATAACCCATCAGATAGAGCAAGTTTTCAGTTACAAAATGTTATTTTTCTATATAGTCACTACCATTGGTAATGCATTTTTGCCAATAAGGATTTTCAGGCTGCCCTCATAAAAATTTGCACCAATGCTGGTGACCCACTTTTTCACTGAAATGCATTACCTAACTATGCTTGCATTTCTTGTTTGATCTCTTCAAACATTCAACAAATGTCAATGAATGTCTATTTGTGTTTTGTTTTTTTTCCACATAGAGGAATTCACTGATACACTTCTACTTTATGTGCTCTCTTGTGTTATATAATATTTGACCAGGTTGCCACTCAGCTGCTGTCAAGTCTAAAAAGGGTTTTTATTGGCCAATAGATTCAACCTCTTCAGCTTTACCATCAGCATCTGCTTCTAATAAAAAATGTAACAATCTTTACTTAGTTAATTTAGTGTAAGGTCACAGAATCATATTTACAAAATAAGTAAATTCTTCTAAAAGGCAGTCTTGTTAACCATCTTATTCTGGTAGGCATTCATGCCATAAGATTTCTTTTTTGTTCTCTCTCTCTCTCTCTCTCTCTCTCAATCAATCAATCAATCAATACCACTAAGATGTAAGAGGCTACCGGAAATGAAAGAGAATGAAAACCAATCCTTAAAAATAAACAAAGGATAAAAAAAAAAGACTGGGTAGAAGTGTGAACTAGATGATAGGTTCGCCTATCTACTTTTATAACAAAAATGGGGACTAATGTCAATAGAAATGTTTTTGTTGTTATTTATAATTGTAAAAGGATTTTCAGGTTCAAATACAACTATAGATGAGTTCCCATGCTGGGACATTTAAACTGCCTCTGACTCTTTTCTCAAATAGAATGAAGTAGCATAAATCATGCTAAGTACAGATTTCAGATGTTATTGAGGTTACCATCAACACAACATTTCAACCATCTGAAGATAACCATTTAGGTTCTCTTCAGGTATTCGTTATTTTGGCTGATAGTGTATATTTTGATTATGTTGATTAATCCCATTGGCCAAAACATAACAACACTATAATTATTAAACATGAAAATTTTGTTTTCATGTTTAATAATTAGTGTTGTTTCAAATAAGTATATTGACAAGTTATCTTCTCAAAGATCCAAATCCTAATTACTGAAATATCTAAAAATGTATATATTTAAACCCTATTTTTCTTTCAATTTTCCACTATGCCTAGACTTAAATTGCTTGGCCTAATGAAGGATTCATGACTGCATCTGATAAAAGGGCAATGTTTTTTTTTTTTTTTTTGTTTGTTTTTTTTTTTAATTTTGTTTTGTATTGCTTTTCATTTGTGAAGTTGATACTACAACAAAAACTGATTTTGTAATTCTCATTTCTTTTTTTTTCTTTTCCTTTTTTTTGTTTTTTTTGTTTATTGTTGTTTGCAGGCCTTCATTATTGCAGTGACATCAGATTTCATTCCAAAATTGGTGTACAAAGTGGAAAAAACCTCTGGTCATGACTTGACTGGTTATATCAACTTCAGTTTATCTGTGTTTGATGTCAAGGATTTTCCAAATAGAAGTCGGCCACTCTTTGATAAAAACATCACAGAATGCAGGTGAATAAATTTGAGTTTTTTGTCTGGTTTTCTTTACCTGTTGCTCAAAGAATAAGCAAAAAGAAAAACATTATTAAGGAAAAAGAATAATAATAGAAGAAGAATCAAGAAGACAGTAGATGACAAACATTGCATTTACATTTCTGAAGATCAAAGCTGACAGAGAAGCAAGAAGCTGAAAGAATGTTCCACAAATGAGAAGTGTTATAGAAGAAACTGTTAGTATATCTAATATGATATAATGAATCAAATTTCTTAGCAACAGGCTTTTATTTCTGGCTCTTGATTGTTTACTGATGATTGAAGACTGATGATCTAGATAAATGCAATTAAAAGTAAGTCGGAAATTAAAAACGGTTGACAGTATTTGATCCAATAAAGAAATGAAATATAATCTAGGTCTTGTCACCGAGTAAAGACTAGATTTAGCATCTAAGAATACACAAAGTATATCCTGTAATCATCATTGTACAAATGTAACTTTAAGAGAAGCAAATTAATAATCAAATTCATTTTTTAAATTTGGGACAAATATATTTCAATTTACACTATTCACTTTGTTCAGATTGTCTTCATCTTTATTTCTATATTCACAATGTTTCGACCTTTGTACACTCTAGCCTTCTTCAGATAGTATAAGGGGGTAGATTGTTCTGGTGTCATGCCTTTTCATTCAGTTAATTCCCTTTTAGTAATGCAACTCTTCAAGTTTTTGTTCACCTCTGCTGTAGCCAGGTATTGAATTCTTTGGGCCAAGTCACTTTTTGATTACTTTAACCAACACTTTTATCCACTGAGCCATGTGTCCTTGGGGACAATAAAGATGAGGACAACAGTCCGAACAAGGTAAATAGTTGCAATACCTTATCTTAGAAATATAGACAAAATGTATTTCAAGTTTTAATGATGATTTATTTATATGTGAATTTAAGTAAAAAGAACTATCTTGGTCTGAATCTGTCATTTTCTTGTGCTTCAAAGTAACATGAACTTTATTCAGTCAGATCAGACTGGAAGCAACAGAAATGTAGTTCTACAGAAGGATGCTGAGAATGCCATAGACAAAGCATGTAAGCAATAAAGAAATTTTGAGGAAAATGGAAACAAAAAGGACTTTTAGAATCAGGTACAGCTGAAATTTCTTGAACACATAAAGAGGATTGATTTTTTGATTTTTTTTATTATACAGTTTATCAACTTTTTGTGGGTTACTTAAATTTAAAACATTTTAGACTGTAAGAATTTTTCTCAAAGTGAATATTGCATTAATAATTTTTGGAAGATAATGATTTTTCTGAAAAAAAATCCTACTAATTAACCTATAGATAGGGAAAAAGCTATGGATTCATACAAGTATTTGTGCATAACATAATGAGGAAGGAAGGTTTGGAAAATTTGATGCTTACAAGGACAAATTGAGGCAGTGGGCCGCCTAATGAGTGTGTTTGAGTGGAAATGATGGGTGGGAGCAATGGCAAAAAGACAAACATTACTAAGAGCTATGAGGGATAGGAAGTTGTGGAGAACCATAATCATCCACATCCTGAAGGAACATGGCACATAGAGTATATTTGAAATACTTCTCGTAAAAAATACAGTAATTCATATGCAAATTAACTACATGTTTACTGTAAAAGAATTTTATTATAATGACAAATTATTTCTGAAATTCCATTGACATGAATGCTTTAAAATATATTGCATTAACGCCTAAGTAAGAGTAATTTTCCAGGTAAAACATCTATATCTTTTCTTTCTTTCTCTTTCTTTTTTTTTTTTTACACAGATATCGAGACTACAGATATCCTCCATCATCTCCTAATAAATATCAATATACAATCATGTTTTGGCATATATTGGCTGCAAGAATGGCCTTTGTTATTGTCTTTGAGGTAAGTGTTTTTGCTTACCACAACTTTGTAACTATGGCTGAGGTGGGTCACAAGACATTTGCTTTACCCTCAGTTTTAGTTGTTTCTGTGTGTGAGATTTTTTGGTGTTTTTAAATGTTGTTTGTCATTGTGGTTGTTTTACTTTGTGGGGGATTCACTCACATCATAGCAGCAGAAATTAGCCTTGTGTTCACAGAGATACTTGGCAGGAAATAAAATGTACACAAATAACAGGAAAAGCATGGTAAATTGTTTGTTAATTTCATGCAATTTATTTATATTTTTGTGTGTATTGGTGTGTGTATTTTTTTTAGGTTAAAAGTGTTTTATGGTACATGTGATAAAAGGAAGAAATTTACTCCATAGTATTACAAGCTATATCACAGAAGTTAGGCGCATCTGTAGCAAGATTTGTAATGAAGAAATTGAATTTTGTATCTTTTGGTGGGGTGTCTGTAGTTCCAGTAGGAACAGTTTTTGTTGGATGCTGGGAGAATTTTTATTTTTAATTTTTATTTAATTTATTTTATTCAACATTTTTATGTTATTGTCTTATTTTATTTATAATAATAATTCTACAACTTTTAAAGAAGAAAAATAATTTGTGATTTCAGAGTGTTTAATAATTTGAAAATATGGACAGATACTCCTTAAGATAGTCAGACAAAGGGAGATTATAATTATTATTAATTCATCTTCAGGATGTTAGCAAAAGTTCCATGGGTAATGGAACCTGTGAAACAATGTAATATTATTTATGCTTTGAAGAAAAAAAAATTGATATTTTTTAAGTAATTTTACAGCAAAAATATCCTGGATAATATCATGCTTTAGTCCAGAAAAGAAAGCAGTGGTGAAGAAATACACCAAGACTTCCTGCTTCTTCTTTATAAAGAATAAATCCATATATAAAGAATAAGTCCATATATCTGAATGTGCTTATTGGTGGGGGTTGAGAACAAAAAAAAGCAACAGACAAAAGATCCATTCAAACAACATTTGACTCGGTGTGTTTTAAAGTTGCATAAGGAAAATTCGGCAAACTTGGACCTTCACACCCACAAAAAAAAAACTGTGTCAAAAGAACAGTTTTTCTATTGACATCACTAATATTTTAATTATCTTCTATCATCAACAATGTTATTAGAATTGTAATAAAACTTAAATTTCTGATGAAAGTGAATTTATACATTTTTTTTTTTTTTTGTTCTTGAGAATTCACAACAAAAATATTAAACACTATTTCTGTCTATATCTCTGAGATGAGGTATTATGATTACTTGCATTATTTACATTACTCAGACTGTTATACTCATCTTCATTGTCATATTCACAACATTTCAATTGTTGTATGCATCCGGAAGAAGCATGGCATGCAGAACTAGAACCGTCTACCCAGGTGAACAAAATAAAGAGTTCAGTTCGAAATTCCAATCACCTGAAGAAGGCTGAAGCATACAATAACTGAAATGTTGTGAATATGGCAATGAAGATTAGGATAACAGTCCAAGTAATGTAAATAATGCAAGTGAGCACTATTTATTTATTAGATTGTTTATTTACAAGAATAATTTTGTATTTACAACCATTCTAAAAACCGATACAATTAAGACTAATGCAATGCAATATTTATCATTTATAAAGAAATATGAAAACAATTTTTTTTCATAAATTTATAAACTTTTACTAAATTATTAAAATATGTAAACCAACTATAAGGAAATTCTTATTTACCATTTTATAAAATTCAAATATATTGGTAATTAGCTGATGCTTTGCCAACCATTCCAATAAACCATCTAATAGGGTTTATTATTTTTGTTGTAAATTCTCAAGAACAAAGAAAATGTAAATTCACTTTCGTATATTTAGGTTTTATTACATCATCGCTTTTAAAACAATAAACATTGCCAAGGAATGAAGGTAGTTAAAATAATAGTGTTGTCAAGGAGAAAACCGTCTTTTTGAGATTCCGTTCTTTTGTGGGTACAAAATATCTAAGTTTACTGTAAATTCTCTAAACAAAAGCAATAAAAGTGTATAATATTTCAGGTCTGAAATATTGAAATATTTATCAAAATATTGGGAAAGTAATTTATACAATCAAGGACAGTTCATTTATTTACAATAGGCTCAGGATATGCAGACAATGAGACAAACTGAATTGCACTCAGTTTTAATTTTGTGATATATTTATATATATATATATATATATATATATATATATATATATATATATATATATACTCATTGAAATACTCATTTTTGTATGTTTGTATGAAATATGATTCTTAATCTTGGGTGGAGAACTTGTCACAATTTGTATTACCTTGTTTTCAGGATTCACCTCTTTGTAAGGTGTATAGACAGTTCATATTAAATATTTATGGACTCCTCAAACATTTCTCCTACAAACAAAATTGGCACACTCATGTGAGTCTGGGTAAAAATAAAAACTCAAAACAATGAATTTAAAACAAATGACAATGCATGTATTAACAAAATATTTGCATGTATACACAATTGTAATGAAATTAAAAGACATTAAAACTAGCTATAAGAATTGTATGTGCAAGTGTGAGAGAGTTCCAAAGTCAATAGTACCAATGAAAGAACTTGCCCCAGCAACAGTGTTCTTTATCTATGTTCAACTACATCTGGAAGCAAGAGGTAAAATTGAGAGAATATGCTTGCCTTTTTATAGACTTAAAGAGCAGCCTCCAACAAGCATTTTCAGGAAACCCAAGTTGGGTAACCCACAACCTCTTCTTGGTGAAAAGTTCAAGAATCTTGAAGGGAAATTTCACTTGAATTTAACCCTTTAAATTCTGAACCTGTAAATATCAGCTCTCAAAATCTCACTGTTTGTATGAGTTCCTGAGTTATTTGCGATGATGTCATCATATATAATGACAGTGGGTTACAGTCTGTTGAACATTGAGAGCCAATATTTACAGTGCGGGTTTGGGCGAATTGAATGCTAAAGGGTTAAATATGATTCTTCAGTCAGGGAAATTATCCCATTCATTTTCACTACTTCAAGTGGAAAAAGTAAAACAAGATGTAATATGCTTGCAAAAATTTTTATTTATTTTTTTTTTTATTTTTATTTTTTTTTTCAGAATTTCATTGTTATGCTGTCTTGGTTCATTGCCTATCTCATTCCGGATATTCCTTATGCTGTGAAGATCCAAATTCTGAGAGAGAATTATTTGGTGAAGGAAGCCCTGTTCAAAGCTGAAGCCAACAAAAGAGCAAAGGCCAAAGCTGAGGAGACAAAACAAGACTAAATCTGATTTTCTGTTCAGAATTTGATAATTTTAGAGTAATTTTTTTTTTTTTAAATTTATGCTTTTTCTCCACAATGAGCAGTTTCTGAAAAGTGACTGATGCAAGATAGAGTTGGGACATTGAATGGTGAAAGGGAACCAATTAAGGAAAAGAAATCTGGAGGCTTATGCTTTTGCAATTTCTTTTTTGTTTTCTTTTAATATGAATGGTTTCTTGCACAGTCCTTTGCCATCTACAGTGCCATTTGATACCACCCATTACAGCAGACATCCAATTGCCAACAAAATATATAAAATGGTACAATTATTATTCTTAAAATCTATTTGAAATATTATATAAATTCTTTTTTCTTTTTTAAATATAAACAAAAACTCTGGAATATTTGTTTTTGTTTAATTGTCTTTTCTTTAAAAGCAAATTAAAATCATTTACATTAAACTTTTTTAATTCAATGTCAGAATATAGCTTGACTACAGTGCTTGTGTCAGCTAAAGATTAATATATATACATATATACAATATTTTGCTTTTCTATATTTGATTACTATGAAACTAACACTCCACTCCATCCATCTACTTTTCCATCCTTACCAACTCATCCATCCAGCTACTGGCATTTCTGGTAAAAATTTGCTTATCCATCTTAAATTTTCAAGTTTTACTTAAATAATATATCTACTTAACTTTTATCTTAATTTACTCATAGATATGTTAATTCCAAAAACAATTCAGAATTTAAAGGTATTCTATTAATTTCTATCAAAGAACATGAGGGTGAGCTATATTGCACTTTTGCTGTTTTGTTTTTCTTTTTATAACACACAAACACATATATGAGGTGTCATTAAATATTTGCTCAAGATTTATACAAGCCAAAATTAAATTTCTTTTCCCTTAACAACAATTATTGATTCGGAGATTTTGTCTGTTTTTTGTCAGTAATTTTTGTGATTTATGTTTTTGATCAGCAATCGCACTTAATTGGTCAGGAAACCTAGATTCCAATAGATCATGTGTAAAGTTACATGATCGATTGAGAACTGATTAAAATACAACTAGAAGTTTTTTCTCCAACACACAAGAGCTTTATTTTTTAGTCTGCTTCTTTTTTCAGTCACTTAATATGGCTGACGTTATAAGGGAGATAACTTTAGTTTAACTAGTTGATAGGAAAAATATTTATAAGCTAATGTTATTTCTAAAATTTGCTCCTATGAGTTTCACTTCCTCAAAAGAATTCCGGTCTCATTATTAAAACTCAAGAAAATAGGGAAGAATTGTAGCATTTAATTGACTCTTAAACAAGATTGCCATTTTTTATATCTAAATAAATTTGAATGACATCATTGGCATGAGCAAAAATCTATTAAATAAATGGTTAAGTCTATTTGGATCATGGGTTGTTGTTTCTTGGCTATTTATTTATTAAAATTACTTTCCACAAAAATATTTGTCCAAAAACAATATCTGATTCTAACTTGGTTTCAGATTTTGAATGATTTAGAGAAATTTTAAAGTTATTAAAATATTTACGGCTATCACCTTCATATTGTTTATGGTATGGTATATTATATAAAAACTATTGTTTAAATGAAGCTTAAAACTTTGTTATTTTTTCTTTACATTTAGAAAATTTAATCTATTATAATTCTACATGTGACTGAATAAAGTTTGTTCAGACTGTTAAATGCTTCTGAAAGATTAATCAAGAATATTAATTTGCATCTGAGCCTTTTTATGCAAATCTTATACTTGATTTATTTTGGGATAATTTTTCAACCATTACACCATGCTTCTAAAAAGAAAATTACACATTGCAACTATTTTGTTTATAAAATTGAAATCTTTACAATAATTGAAAAAAAGAAAATCAGACTAATTTCATTGAAGAAAGTTCTACTATAGCTTCAATTTCATGATACCTAAAAGTGTTTCAGTGTTTGAATATAGTTTGTAGAAAAAACCTTTTTCTAATTTGAATGTCTGTGATGTTGTGAAGTATTTGTATGAAATGACATGACTAAAAGCTCAAAGAAGCAATGAAATCTTTTTTTGTTTTTATATCTACAAAAACATTTCTCTGAAAATTTTCTTGAAAACATAGGCACCATTTAAGTCTTCATAACATCACTTCAAAAATAAAAACTAAACTTTCATTATATGATTAAGACTTTTTCTTGCTTTAAAAAGAAAAGTAAAAATAATTAATTTTCTTCTTTAAAATGTAAATTGAAACTTGTTTTCATGGGGGCAGGTGTTGGAATTAATTTAAAATATAACACTTTACTTAAAACAAATTATTGTGGATCAAAATTTTTCTAATTCCTGCTAAATTTTTGCTACAGTTTTTTTTTTTTTAATATGTAAATAAAAACGTAATTACAACATTTTGCAACTCATCAAAATACCTTTTTTTCTCTCTCTCTTTTTAACTGACTGGTCACAGGTATTTCTTTAACAAATATATTACAAATAAACAACTTAAGAAGCTTTCTATGACTCTATGAAAACCTTGTGAAATTTGTGTCTGTGTTTCTTTTCACCCCTTTCTCCACAAAAAAATCCAAACAATATTTTTGTTTTAACCTTTGCTTCCATTCATCCTCACGGTATCTTATGAGGTTTTAGATGTTGTTGTTGTTTTCACATTTAGGAACCCTTCTCTTCCCATGGTGCTATGTTCCTGGTGTGTTCAAAATATCAAGGTACAATGAGTTTGTTCGAACAAGGCAATCTTTAAAAAATCCATTTGGCACAGTCTTCCATGTTAATTTTTATTGTTGTTACATTAAGTTTTTCCAAATTTGCACAAATTAAACAAAATTTTCATTCTCTGGATTTGGTTGTTTCTGAATTATTTGACATGTATGTCTTCAAGGACACATCATTTTTGGCAAACCAATATACAAAGTAATTTTTTTATATTGAATCCAATTTTGACTTGTTTTATGAACTGGCCCAGATTTTTCTCTGAATGAAATGTTGAACATTTCAAACTGATATTTCTAATTCACAATGCTTGAAGTGAAACCTGTTTTATTTTTTTTCCTTTATAAAAATTATAAATTAGATATTTACAAAATGGAAAATATAAACTGTAGATTTGATTAATAAAAGCATAACACTATAAAATGGAGATAAAGGTGTTCTCTTGGTTAAAAGTGTTGAGCATAGAATCTGAAAACAATTATCAATCTCAACCAGAACTTGATACTTTATACCTTAGAAAAATATGAATCTTTATCATCCTCTTCACCATAGCTATGTTTAAATAGAACAGTTTTAAACTATTAAACTTGTAAGGCAATCTGTCTTCAGAATGAAGGCTAGCAACCAAGACCCTGTGAATGCTCGCTACAAAAACTGCAGTACCTTTAGTTAATATAATTGCATTCCCAGATGCTTCACAAGTAGTTTGGCAGGAATAATCATATAATAATTATATATATGTAATCAACATTTATTCTTTTTGTAATACTTGCTTTCATTCCAGACCACTAACAATGCCTTCTTGATTTTCAAGATACAATGTACAGATTAAATGCTGAAACTTTCTAAAACTAATTTTAAGGATAAAAAAAATTACTTAAAAAAAATCATTAAATTTTTTTCATACCATCATAAATATTTTGAGAAGAAAATAACTATAGGTAAAACGAGGGGTAATAGAGTATCAGTAAAGTCAGTGGGAAGTGATAAAAGCTGAGACATTGTCTACCTGTATTATTTATATTTTCTTTAAACCGTGGCTAGAATTTTCTTTGTCAATGTAAATCTGAGAGTTTTTACCTTTTTGTTTATGTAATTCTATAGGTACTTCTATAAGTAATAAGGTTTCTATGTTTTGTAATACCCATTTGTAGGAGAGACTTTGTAAATCACAGGTAGTAACACCTTTGAACAATACTCAGTCAGATGCCATTAATTCTATATATATATATATATATATATATATATATATATATATATATATATATATATACACTTTTCCTTTACCCATCACATGATCTAATTATTTCAAGATGAGGTTGACTGTGCTTGCTCTCTGGTGAGCCATATTCAAACCCAAGTGTCAGCAGTGACACTTTATTCCTATATGATACCATGTCTTCATTTATGATAGTGATATCAGACCCTGTATCCAGTTGTAATTTTATTTTTAGATTATTAATTTCTACAAAAACAAATTTCCTCTTTTGAGATTTTTCTCAGTTAAAAATATGTTTAAAGTCTTGTTAATTTTCCTTTCAAGCTTCCTATTTTACTCCATGTATTTATCATGTTCACACAAATTTTATTTTCCCTTCATTTTTTTTTGTATCTGCAACAAGTACATTTGTGTCCAACCCTCTCATATTCGTAGCATTTTTTGTTCTTGAAAAAAAGCAATTACTTTTAAAATGCTTACTTCCACAATCGTGGCAAGTATTATGTATTGAGGTGGGGTATATCACTTTTTTTTACTGTTCAATTAGGAGTTGAAAAACATGTACAGTCTTTTCTCTTAGATGGTCAGAGACTATGTACTTGTGAAATGTCTCTTTCCTCTTTTCCTTGCGGTTGACACTCTTCCGCTATTTTCTGGAGACTTAATTTGGAATACATTTCTAATTCAGCAAGTATCCTGAATCTTATCTCCACATCCTTATTAGAAGTTAAACCCTGTATGAATATCAGGCATTTAAATAAATCAGAAATTAATTCATTTAACTTTAACTTTTTACATTCTCAATTCACAACTCCTTCATGACAAAATCTTCATCATCAGACTTTATTAAGTTAAGACATTGCCATTGCCATAATGAGTTCCTATCACCAAAATTTTTTGATAGAATTAGAACTGTTTCATCAAAATTTATCTCTCTTGGTTTTTTTCAGCAAAATATAATTCACATATTTTTTTGTGTTCAGCAGGAGACAATTTCCTTAATAATAAACAAACTTTCTTTCCATCATTCCAATGTGAACAATCCCTTTTGAAGATCCCTTCATATCTTCTA